AAATAGTGCAATATCAAGGACAACCAAACTTGGATATACAACGATGTTTATACCTAAGGTTCCTTTTTGGTACTCACCAACAAGGATCAACCGTAATTGTTTTCAGTCAGAAAGTGTCCTGAGTTTCCAGAAAATTGTAACTTATTACATTTAAAAAATTAAGGATAAATTAAACGTTACGGTTCTGGTTTTGGAGCGAGTCTAAGTTCTTGCAGTGACAGATACTTCAAAGGAAGGAAGGTGGGAAGATTTTCTTACTGCTAATAGCCTTCTTTGAATTCAGCGTGAAAAATACTGGGTAATTTCTATAGTTTGGGCCATTTAGGGGAACCAAACAAATTTTTAAAAACTCTTCTGTCTCATCATTTTAGTAAAGTATGATATTATTATTTGAATAGAAGTTAAATAGGTGTCAAGAAAAAATATAGGCCTACCGCAAATTATTATTTTTGGGATAGAATTACATTGACCAAGGAATACTCTCAAAGTGTAGTGTAGTGATAAAGTTTCCCGAGCAAAGCTCGGTCCCCAGCTACTTGTTGTCAAAAAACGCAATAATGTACGTTATTTCATAAATTTTGTACCTGAGAAATTTACAAATGGAAAATGCATTTCTCGTAAGTGTAAGCAAATCTTAAAATGATACGATTTGTAATGATACGATCTTAAAACGAGCAATTCAATATTCTTATTCAAAACACCAAACGCCCGCCACTGGATCAAAATATGCCCGCACGGCGCAACCCGGCACGGTGGGAAGCCCCTGTCGTACAATTTAAATTACGTACATAAGCCAAAAATTTAAAAATATAATTTAGAACATTTTACTTTTTGTATACAGAATCCACTGTTTTGAAACTTACCTGACCAAAAAATAAAATAAAGTAGTAGCCGACAAAAAAAGTTCCGTGGAAATTTGCCATGTCAACGTTTCATAAAACATTTAAAATAATCGACTTTATTTGAATATTTAAAATGAAAAGTACCGGGGACCGAGCCGTGGCTCAGTATGTTTATTTCGATTGTAAAAGATATATAAAGGAAACTCGTGTTTTCTTTATAACTAATTTCTGCTTTTATTGTTTAAGTTTCAGTGGAATCTTAATTTACTATGATGTAACTTTAAATGGACAATGCAACACATTAATTTATTTTAATCTTACACATTTCTGTTATTGTAAATAAATCATAGAAATGTTAAAAAATAAAAGTAGTATTTTTTTTTAAATTCGTTCCTAATGAAGGAATTAATATGCGGTCACAGGTTAATACAGTAGAAATCAACTACACAGCATTAAAACAGCACAGTGTATGTAAGGGGTGTGATTTATTTCTTGGTACTAAATTAAGTCATTCTTCAAGTATAAGTAAAACTTCAGCATGGGCATACTCTCTAACGTACTATCATATGATGGATTAGCTGAAGGCAGATATTTCCGATTCAAGCATATATTGCTTACTATAAAGATTGTTGTAATACAATTAACTTTAACTAGTGGTCGTCCAGTAGTCGAAAACTCGACCAAAAATATGTAATGTACAGGTTTCAAATGATTTAGGCCTTAAAATTTTTTTCCTGTGTAAGTAACTAAGGACTTCTGGATAATTTAAATATGATATTTATATGTTTCTTACTCAGGAACAATGCCGTTCCGGGACACTATATAAATGGACGTTAACGTGATTATAAATTTGCATTTTAAATAGTCAAAATACAATAGGTATTGCGCAACCGTGATATGTTAAGTCATTAACCTTGGTTCACTAATAAACACTACACCGTATGCTTACTCAAACAAAACAAAACTTGCTTACTGTACAGCAATAAATCACGTAAAGAACAAAACAAAAGAAAATGTAGACTAGAAGATTACTGATACCGTAGTCATCCTAGGCTACTACTACATGATGTTTCAGAACAGAAGTATGGGGATAAAAATATTAAATAACTCATAAAACACCATAAAATCATAGTACTGTACTTAAGTCTTTCTGGTAATAATAACAATGATAAAAATAAGATAAAGATAACAATGATGTAAAACACCTCTTATTATTTCTCTTTGTTCTATTCTTTCTTTGGTTTCTCTCCATCCACAAGTTGTCATGGTTACTAATCACCCAACGACCCAACCACAAAATATTGTAGTGTTGTGACAGCAGACAGGAGCAGACGATGATTGTCAGTATGTCAGTGTCAGTGCAAGATTTTCAGTCTGTAGGTGCGAGCGTATAGCTTGACCTTGACGCTACTGATCAATATTTCTCCGTTATCTTATTTTTGTCAAATGAACTGTAATATTTCAATAATTGGGAATCTACTGCACATAAAAATTACCGTAAATAGTTAAATATATCGTTCATATCGAAATATTAGACACAGTTCATAAAACATTTTCTTGGGATTTGTGAGGTTATATAATATATAGGCATACTGTATTTGCAAGTTAAAGTTATAAATAGAAAACCCATTATGGTTTGTATTCAATGACCAATGTATCATACAAAATAAATCATAACTTATTTTGATATTAATCAGAAGCATTTATTACAGCTTGCAGCACTTATTGGTATAAATATCCCAGTTACTATTACAAAAAAAATAAAAATAAAACACGAAATTGTGTGGCCATTCAATTTTTATAAACACAGTGTTAAACATTTGACTCTGCAGAATACCGGATGGTAAAGAGTGTTTGGTTTCAAGAAAATAAAATAAAAAATAGTTTAACCAGCTTTACTATTTATTTTGAAAAATAATAGATAGGAAACCATAAGGATAGGTATGGGATTGAACTGAAATAATTGCAGGAAAACTTAAATCGTAGAGTCCACAATCTGTACATCGTTAGAGTGGGAGAGAGAGAGAGAGAGAGAGAGAGAGAGATTTGATAAGGAATCTGAAAAGTAAACAAATAATCGTTTCTGGCGTTTGTTATATTGTACCCCCTCCCCCCCCCCCGCATTTGCACTCGTGACCACTTTTTCTTGCTTCCTTATCATTCATCCGTCCCAAAATAGAATTCCTGTAATAGTTTGTTTGTAAAATTAAAATTATTATAAAAATCTTTTATCTTTCGAGTGTAGTTTCGTGGTTATTCTTATCAGATAGAATAATATCGTTGTTATATGTAATAGTTACTCCTTCGCGTTACGCAATTGCGTAAAAAAACTGTTCCCGTATCTCGAACAAGATTCACGTATATTTCTCGAGATAAAGAAAATCCGTATAGTTCCCGGTCCGTGGAAACACTGTAAATATTGTACTAGGATATAAAATATTGTATAAAGGAGAAGTTGACTAAAATTTCAACTGAAGATAAAAAAATTAAAATAACTTAAAATATGAGATGATGAACGGGTAGGATCAAGATTCAACCAATTATAATTAATTAATATTCGACGATCCTCATTAGAGGTGCATCATATTTATTTGGAGTATGAACATGTTTAAACATTAACACGTAGTTAATCACTATCCCAACACAAATAGTAACAAGGAGTAAACGAAGGTTACAGACCGCTGGGTGTTACCGCTACAAAGTAGGCGAGGAGGGTGCCATACTTGGCTACACTACTCCACGATAGAACACACGATGAGAAAGTCTCCGCATTGGTATTGCAGTTACGCTTATCGACACAGGCAGCAGCACCGGTTTGCTGTTTTCATACGTATAAAGTGCACGGGAAGCCATACCTGACTGGCTTATGGGAGAGCTGACTGGCTTTCGGGCGGGTGACTGCCACACCGAGTAAATTACCAGCGCACTGACTGCCAAACCGGGTGGGCACAAAAGTATATATATATATATATATATAAATATATATATATATATGAATTTGAACGGATGGTGTTTTTGGCCTCTGGGGACCTCAAAACGAAAAAGTAAATCGGTCCCGGGTCTAGGTCTTACCATGAGACCTACGGTAATAGCTTATTCCCTATATGGGAAATTCGCTAAAACCACCAAGAAAATGTCCAATCTCACAGTGCACTAGATATTTAAATTATAATCACTTTGGTATTTTAAAAAATATTTTAAAATGGTTAATAACTCTTCAGCAGCTGTTTTAAATTACCCAAGATGGCCGCTAGCCTCTAAGGACTCTTAAAAAGTAAAATAATATTATCGTTTGTAAATCCTATGTGTTTGGAAACCAGGCAAGTTTCCTTTTTTTACTTGTATGTTTACAAATACTAACGCTTTCCGGTTCAAACCCATTTAAGTTTTTGGACATTTTAACTGTGTATAATTTATATATTCTTGAAACCATAATCTTTTTGAAACAAAGGGAACTAACAACACCCTCCAATCCCGGGCATAACTATAATACTAGTTTAAAAATTAGATTGCCTCAGCATAAATTAGAATATTATACAAAGAAAACCACCTATGCAGGATTGAAATTGTTACAATATTTACCAATAAGCATCCGGCAGGAGACAAATTTCAAAAAATTCAAAAAACTTTTAAAAGATTTCTTAGTAAAAAATCCTTTTTATTCATTACAAGAATTTGTAGATAAAAAAAAATATTTCATTTGAATTCCCATTTATTTTTTTATAATGGACATTTGCGTAGATTTATGTTTAAATGTGTATGATTTGTATATAGATTTTGACTCTATTCAGATACATGTATGTTTTATATATGTTATATATTGAATAAAGACTATTTGAATCTTGAATCTTGAATCTTGCTTGTGCTGGGAATTGAACCCATCCCTCCAAAGTCCGATACGCTAACCACTAGAATAGCAATACACCCGAGCTGTATTAAACAAGATAACAGATATTAAATTAAATATTTTAGAACAAAACCACAGGCATTTTATACAATTATTTTAACTAAAGGTCGGCCGCTTAGAAAACGACTTGAGCGCTTATGCTAAACCAATGCTGGAGGAGTTTGCTTTCTAAGCGGCCGAACTATAATATAATACCAGAAACATCTAGAAAAGTGATTCTGAGTGAACACAACCTATAATAGCCTACTCACCGTTGAATAACAACATAGGTCTCAGTTCCATGTTCTCTTCGCTCCGTGGAGACGCAGGCCTCATTTCTGTATACCCAGAGTTCCAGTTGGCATACTGTGGAGGGCAAAGCTTGCTCAGGTAGTCTTGTTGGGCCAAGTACTGACTGTTCTCACGTAAGTACGGATCATTGAGGTCTACGTAATGCTGCAAAAACAAAACACAACATTAATGTGAATAAATGACAGAGTATGTTCAATCAAATAATAACAATATAAATAAAACGATCTTATCTCATGGACAAACTACTAAACTATGCAGGAAAACAGTTGCAAACATTTATATGGGTAAGACTATATTAAATATTTTTAGGGCAATAGAATAAATCATCCAAGACATAAACTTGTATCAGATTAAAGCTGAGTATGTATATTTAAACTTCTTGCGCTTGGTTATATATACAGTAGACTACCTCTTATCCGGACTCCTCAGGACCGAGGCCAGTCCGGATAACGGGTTTTCCGGTTAAACCGACGTTAAAACGGACCGTTTAAATGCATACAGTACTGGACAATACTGTACACGATAATATACTGTACTTTAATGTTTGGTACAAATGTTCACAACAACCACAATTTACTAATTACTGTAGGGTACTGTACATACTGTATGAACGGACTAACGATACATGTGCACACCACGGAAATCACTCGAAAACTAACCCAAATATTTTACTTAAATTTGTGAATTGATGATCACTAGTCTCAAATCTTTCCCAAGAGATCAGTCGTTTCAGTACCTCCCACTTCCTGCCGATCTAGTCCTAGGGAAAGTAAATAAAAAAAAACATCTTATAACACTTAAAACATACAGGGTGATTTGTACTCAGTGTGACAAAAATTTTTTGGTGTAAGTAAAAAGTAAATGAAGTGTGATGATGCATATCAAATGTTCCAAGTCTAAAAATTAGCTTCCCAAAAAATTATTTTATGTTTTTTAAAAATAACCATGTTTTTAAACTTAATACAGCGATTTCTCAATTACCTGTATATGGATTTGAGTAGATAATGTAATTTTCGTGTTCTACATTAAATTTTAAACAAGAATAATAGAAAATGACGGAGGATCAGTTGTAAAAACTCCATTGTAAATAGATTCAAAGATAAAAATTAAGATGTTTGATAAAAATTTTAAAAACAATGGTCTATTGCATTTTTCACACCCTGTATACAAGAAAGTGTCGGAATATGTTAAAAACTGCGCCATTTTATAAGCTTTCCAACGATATGCTACACTATTGAGGTTTATGTCTGCTTATGTACGCTTTAATGGTTTGAAGACTACAAAGCATGGTGTCTTTAACATTTAAAACAATGAAAGTCGGCATGTATTAAGCAAAAGTTGTATTTTTGATTCAGCTTGAACAGTAAAAACAGCCAAAAGTTCCCTGTTTTCTGGTATTCAAACCACTAAAACAAACAAAAAGATATCTAAACCTCAATAGTGGAGCATATTGTTGGAAAGCTTATAAAATGGCGCAGTTTTTAACATATTCCGACACTTTCTTGTATACAGGGTGTGAAAAATGCAATAGACCATTGTTTTTAAAATTTGTATCAAATATCTTAATTTTTATCTTTGAATCTATTTACAATGGAGTTTTTACAACTGATCCTCCGTCATTTTCCATTATTCTTGTTCAAAATTTAATGTAGAACACGAAAATGGCATTATCTACTCAAATCCATATACAGGTAATTGAGAAATCGCTGTATTAGGTATAAAAGCATAGTTATTTTTGAAAAACATAAAATAATTTTTTGGGACGTTAATTTTGAGACTTGGAACATTTGATATGCATCATCACACTTCATTCATTTTGTACTTACATCAACAAAATTTTGTCACACTGAGTACAAATCACCCTGTATATTTACGCCTATACTGTTACTCACAGGATGGTAAATATACATAAAGATACATAAGTGGTGATCGATTTTGATTGGACACTCCAATCATCATCAGACCTAATAGGCGAATGACCTGATCTAGTCTTGTTAAACCAATGTGCTGATAAAAATTGTCTGGTTTAAGAGATGTCATTTCCGCTGAGTGTAGTCCGGTTAAAAGGTGTCCGGATAAGTGGGAGTCCACTGTAAACAAACTGTCTCTGCTCACATCGCTGGTTCGACTTGGCAACCATCACAGCAACTCCTCTCCAGCTTGGGATTATTTAAGTTTCACAAGCGCTCACAAGGAATAATGACTGATCTAACATCAAAACTACATACATTTTGTTAAAAACATGAGTGACCAGTGCAACTAAACTTTCGAGTTGTGTGCTAAACCGCTATACTTGAGCAAACGTTTTTTATGCTGGGACGTTTAGTTTTATTGGTCATCTGAGAAGCAGTTACAACTGATTTGAAATAATCCAAGCTTTTATGCAAAAGCCCTTCATGTCTTATAAATCATAAAGGGTTAAGGAAGGAAAAACAAACACATTAATTTGTTTCTAGAAAACTATTACCTATGTAATGGCAAAGATCTAATACAAGATAGTAGATCTAATGAGTTACAAGTACATTACCGTTCTGACAGTGTCCTCAAGCATTCCTCCCATTCTCTCGGCCAGTTCAGTGAAAGATGGTCGAGAGTGAGGGTTTCCATGCCAACAGTCGAGCATAACCTGGTATCTGAAACATATAAACTCAACTAGTCAACAGACTAATAGACTTAGAGGGCTATTTAGAAAGTAAAGAACGTTTTCATCTGTCTCCGCTGATGACCACGATGATGTTACCGCGATCCCAGGAGACGACAGTGACGTCTACATGGCACCAAGAGATGTTCATGATTATGCCGCGATCGCGGGAGACGATGATGACGTCTACACGACCGAGAGTGATGTTCATGATGTTGCCGCCATCCATGAAAAACAGTGATGATGTTTCAGTAATTGAGAAAGATATTTCGGATTTTGCATTGATCTCAGAATACGACGATTATCACTTTCTTTTTATACTTTCTTATTAGATATTACTTTGAGTTTGGACGTAATAAAAATATCAGGCTGGCACACCTCTAAATAATACCTTAAATATGGTAGTTATTTGATGTGATAAGAAGGAAATTGGCTAGTTAGAATGTTTCATTGCTGCATAAATTTTTTTACTTGAAAAACACCCTAATAGCCTACCTCAAAAATACCTTATAGAAAGACATAAAGACAGGGGCTCTTGTAGTATAATCAATCCATTCAGAAAACTTGGTAAAACTATTTAAAAAATGGTATTGGTATTGAGAAGTGATTTTTAGGTATCGGTCTTGAGAATCGATAAATATTGGTATCAAAACATCACCAATTCATCCAATTCATCAAATATTTTTAACACTTCTGCTACATTATAAATTATTTTGATTTGAATGTGTTTGGCTATTTAATTATTTTTTTAAAATATAAATAAGTTTTATTTTCTTAATCCCTTAAGTTTTGAACCAACCTATACTAATGCATAATACTGTGAAATTGAAATACTGTATTGATATTTTGTTTTAAAAATAAAAAATTAAGTAGCCTATCCTAACAAATTAAAATAAGGTACCGATGGTACCGGAACCGAGATCCGAGAATCGATTTTGGCTAGGAACCGGTACCAGTACCGACCCATCACTAAACAATACGCAAGTGATGTTTTAAGTAATGTCTTGTGTCTAGTGTAACCCAATTCATTCTTTAAATCTTTTAAATGTTTCAAACGGTTTCCACCACGGTAAATTTCAACAAATTCTTACTTACATTTGCCTGGTTGCATATTTTGGCTTCTCCATTCGATAGCCTGTATTCAGCTTTTGATAAAGATCCTTGCCCATCTCCATCCCTGTAAAATACAAGAACAAATAAACATTTTAAAAATTTAATAAATATAAAATTATGACATAAATTAAATTATTTTCTAGTACTCAAAGATTACTATACCATTAATCCCCCACATTGATGCTATCCTACATTTTAGATTATTTGTTTTGAGGCATTGTCATCAGAATTGTACGTACCGGTAACTTCTTCACCCATTAGATTGTTGTGTTATACATGATTCAAGACAAAGACAAAACAAAGCAAGGCCTAATGTTTGAGATCATGAGTGATGATTCTCAACTGGATGTCCACTTGTTCTATTAGTTGAACTATGACCTCAAAGCTTACTAGTCGTGATCACACAGATAATACCCACGCTGCAGCTAACCTGCAGACTAAGCGAATTTCTTTTTGCCTGATTTGATTTCAAATTAAATCTATAACATTAGGTTTAAAGAGTACCTAGGTTTGCTACTACATGGAGGATAATAAGGTATGTTTTATACTAAAATATTAATAGCTTAGAATAAAATAAATAAATCTGCCAAGTTGTATCAAAATATATTCTCCCTAAAAATAACATGGGAATTTAAAATATAAATTTTTTTAATTTTCCCAGTAGCCAATAAACGTGCAAAAACACTTAAATATACTAAATTATTAGTTTTTTTAAACTCTTCAAAATTGTTTAGAGAGAAGTTGGGAAATTTTATGTTTTGAAGGCCAAAAATTAGAAAACCCAATTTTGACCCCGTAAATCCCCCTATATAACCCCGTTCCCATGGTCCGATCAGGCTGGTTCGCGAACTTGTGCGAATAAACGTAGGTTTACACGTTCGTACCAAATTTCATCAAAATCGGATCATTTTTGCTCGAGTTATTGTGCTGGACACACAAACATATATGTATATGAATTTGAACGGATGGTGTTTTTGGCCTCTGGTGACATCAAAACGAAAAACTAATTCGGTCCATGTCTTCCTATGAGACCTACGGTAATAGCTTATTCCCTATAAGAAAAATTCTCTAAAAACCACCTCTATGATATAGATAGATGGATGACAAGATATAAGGATTGTTCACCAGGGTAAGGGCTGCAGGCAAGTGAGAAGAGTTCCCACATGGTGATACCGTATGACCAGACATCGGACTGAGTTGAGAATACTTTGTCTCTGATAGACTCCAACGCCATCCACTTGACTGGCAACGGCCCCTGGACAAGACAAAAACATTGCAATATGATGCTAGATTGTAAAACTGAATAAAGATGTACAATAGTGACAATAGTTAATTGTGCACTTAGTCAACTAGTGCGTGACACTCTGCTGCATATGAGATAAATGTTTACGCACGAGCCGCAGGCGAGAGTGGAAGGTTATTTGAGTGCAGCGAAGGCATTTTTTGCTCGCGTTAGGCCTACACATTATATTTTTCCTACAGTTACTATAAACCATATAAATAATTAGTCTTTCAAACACTAAACAACATGTTAAATCATATTATCATTACTCAAAGGCTGTGAAACGCTGCACCAGCTGATCGTAGTTGTAGTATCTTGCCAACTTATTTTCAAGTGTACTTATATTAAGTACCTTATAAATAAAAGCACACTGTTTTGTGTTGTTTGTTTGGAATACTGGAGTGCGGGAAAGTAAAATGAGTGTGACAAAAGTAAGTAAATGCAGCAATTAGCTACTTTGCTTGCTATAATCGGTGCAAGGAAGCCTGCTTTTCAGGTAACTATAGGGAATAGTTAAATTTGTGTAGCTAGCGCAACAAAAAAGACTTTGTGCTCATGTTATACTTTATATTTTTCCTACAGTTACTATAAAGCATAATGGGTAGTGTAATCTAATTGTTTACTGGTTAACTTTTACTATGCAATTTTTTTTTTAAATTCTACCTTAAAAAACAGAAATTAACGAAACTAAACTAACAAAATCTATGTTATCTGAGGTTCTCAGTAACTGAGGTAGTCTCGGTCCCAACCTTGGTAATTCGGGAATATACTCCAATTACCATTTAAAGTATAGTTCCACCCTTATGGTCCACCCAACTTTATACAAGACATAACATCATCTTTTATTCAATGTCAGAATAACAATAACTGTACAGTATCAAAAGTTGTTTATTTGTAATTCTCACTCTTTTTAGTTGATATTTTAATTTTTATAATTGACCAAGCACTGTTATTCTGTTTCATGTTCAAATACTGTAATCTGTAATATGCAAATATTTTAAATAAGAAATTATATACTCACATCTCCTTCTTTCTTATAGTCACCATATTTGTACACACTTTTTGATAGACCAAAATCGCATATTTTTACAACATTATCTTCTGCTAGCAAAATATTCCTGGCGGCCAGGTCCCCGTGTAACACCTGAAAAAAAGAGACGAAGGTATAATAAAGTAATCTACTCACAACGGGAGTTGCACTGGATTCATTTCACCTCCGAAACAAGTTTTGGCCCTATTAAACTGTGCGCACGGGTCGTCATAGACATTATTTTAAGTTTTAAATTTTACTTACTGCATTTCCGGCTAATCCAAACAGGGTACAGCCCCAATTAGTTAGGATTAGAGGGACTGATAGTTCATTTTACTGTGTACAGTCTTGTCACCTTTCTAGACGCCAAGTACTCCATGCCCCGGGCCACCTGGTAGCTCCAGCAGATGAGATCCTGAGTACAGACGGATGTCAGCCCAGCATCCTTGTAATCCCCTCTGTCTGTGTTACGCCACTGGGGGTCACTGGGGGCCAAGTACCCGTCTTCGTCTGTACAAGGTCAAACAATCTATCTATATACTTCAAAATATATATTTGTAATAGAGGGTAGGTGACCTGTGATCTACCCTGCAAGCTAGAACTAGGAGACATGATGGAGGTGTTAAACACTGGGGTCTTTGTACTCAGTAGCAGTGAATAAACAGGCCACCTGACGTGATGAAAGGTGTCAGTCGGCTGGGACAAGGTGCCCATGGGACTAGTGCAAGTTTGGCTACTACTTCTGACTATCTTGGGGATTAGGCCTTTTCCGTTAGGAAAAGTTTTGGTTAAAGTGTTTCCAGTCAAGGTGTTCAATGTTTGAGTTTGCCAATTGGTTTTGGAATAGCAATTGTGTTAAGTTGCATAGGATGGCAAACTATTTTATGGATAGTTGATTTCTAGAGTGAGTTGCCAGGATATTCCTATGAGTCCATCCGAATCATACGGAATGGATTTTTTATTCTAGATAGGCTAGAGGAAGAGCATTGACAAAGAGCTAGTTTGTTGAGACAAGTAATTTTTATTTGATACAGTAGCTAAACCAACTCCTGTGTGTATTAGATAGGTTCAGGTTTTCTTTACATCCTACCGTCCCATGTGTTTATGCAAGTAATATCGAGTGGTTGTTAAATATTTTCTTGAATATTAAATTTTGAACACTCACTTTTGTCAAGATATTACTAAAGTAATTTTGTAGATTTGGGGAATAATTTTCTTTAATTGTTAATTTTCAGATTGATTAATTTATTTTGCAACTTACCAACTGGAGTAGGCTCGTTATTGGCCACTGTAGAGTCTGACATTACGAACGTTGTATCTGTGGCTTGAGAGACTGCAGCACTGTCATAAGCTTTGCTGTTGGAGTAGGAAAATCTGTTACTGAAAACATAAAAATTTGTCCTGTTAAACTTATACATCCAACAATTCTCTATTGTACAAACTAGTCATGTGTCAGACGTCTGTTGTACCTGAATGCGATTCTCGGTACCACCACACCTTGAGAAACCGTACCAAAAAACCAACAAACACACAAGACCAATGGATGGCGGACGTTGGCCATGATGTGAAGCAAGGATATTTTACTTGTCCGTCTCAAGATAGCAGCTGCCAGCGTTGAGGCGAGCGCTACCAAAGACAAAAAGAATTAAATATAGACCGACAGCCGTCATCAAGAAGGTATCGGCTAACCTAAGCTCGTATCAAAACCCGCAGTCTGGATTTGTCCATGGCCGGGCCCGCGTGTTGTAACTAAATGTGTCTTCGTCATGTGTAAAGAATTTTTAAATTTGACAACTGCAAGTGCTGAGCAATATACAGGGTGGTAAAAAGTCCCAGGACAGTTAAATAAAAAATAATAATGTAGATAAAGCTACAATACTTGGTACAAAGTTACAGGGCATAAAACTCTATTTTAACACATATTCAGTGATCCAATAACTCTTCAGGGGGACGGCCCACAAGGAGTCGGAAGAAAATCTTAAATGGAAGCATAGGTCAATATGCACATCAGATTAAAGGTCTTTTTTAGTAGAATACAATGCCGCAAATCGCACTTCAAAAGGTTGATCCTGCGCCAAATGGCAGATGTTCAAAGATTTCTTGAATCCGCCATTTTGAATCTTTGAACGACTGCCATTTTTTACTCAGGCATTCTTTTGAGCTTGAATTTACAGCATCGTAATCTACTAGTGAAGACCTTTAATTTGATGTGCATATCGACCTATGCTTACGTTAACAATTTTCTTCCGATTCCTAGGGCTGTGCCCCCTGAGGAGTAGGCCTAAGCGTATAATAGCAATGTAAATTAAATGAATCTTTGAACAACTGTCATTTTGCGCAGGATCAACCTTTTGAAGTGCGGTTTGCGGCATTGTATTCTACTAAAAAATACCTTTAATTTGATGTGCATATTGACCTATGCTTCCTTTTAAGATTTTCTTCAGACTCCTTGTGGGCCGTCCCCCTGAAGAGTTATTGGATCACTGAATATGTGTTAAAATAGAGTTTTATGCCCTGTAACTTTGTACCAAGTATTGTAGCTCTATCTGCATATTTTTTTTTTAATATTTCACTGTCCTGGGACTTTTTTACCACCCTACCCTGTATGTTTGACAAGAAAGAAAAGAAAAAAGATTTGAAAATTGGGTTGACACCCTGAATCTAGTTATCCACTAGAAACAATATTATTGATGATAGGTTAGTAATCTTATTTATGTTAATAAAACTAGTCTTTAAAGTCAGCAGTACAAATTAATTTAGAAATTAAATGTTTCTGCAACATATTCAACTGCCTTCTTCCTCATTTAAAAGTGTTTTGAACATACTTTCTGAAGCACTGATTTACTACAGTACTATTTTTTCTTGCTAAGCCGTTTACCTTAGAGAGCTCGGGGACATGGGCTCTTTGAAGGTAGGGTCAAATTCTCTTGTGATTGGATTCACTTGGGAGTGGAAGACGCCTCTATGTAGCAGTAAATAGTTGCGTAGATTGCCGTACTTGCAATACTCCACGATAACCAACAACTCTCCTGTAAAGTTAAACATAGTTACTACATCATGATCATAGTAATGTGCAATGTTTATGAGCAGTATTCAAACCACCAATTAAATGTCTCTTTTAAAATATTTTAGTTGTAATACTTTTGTAAAGATTAGATACCCTTATGTAAAACTTCATAAAAGTCTACTATGATAGTGGTGTGGGTTGTGCAAATGCACGTGACTAGTGTTGTTAGTGCAATAAACCATAAAATTTACAGTTTGTAATACCAAAATTCACAATAATGTTACAATAAAGACACTCAGAAAAAACAAAGAAGGGGAGACTGTTTAGTTATAGTCCATTCACAATATTTTGGCGGTTTGAGGGGAAGTTTCCCGACCACTTTTTTTCTGCTTAAAGTATGTTGCAGCTGAATGAGGTTTTGACAAATGTCAGCTGTTGGGCAATGTTTAATGGTAGGATCAAGAGGTGGAGGGGATAGATTTCTTCCCCTGAACCCGCCTAAATTTTGTGAACGGAGTATATACATACAGTATATATAGGCCTACATACCTAATGTCTATTGTCAGGACGGCAGTAGACATTAGGTAAGCTGGAGAAGGACGGATTGCTCGTGATGAACTCCAAGAAGATGAACCGGCTGAGGAAGCAAAAGGGAAAAGCAATAAGTAGAAGAAGAGAGAAGAGACTGCAAACACTTCCCACTCTTTGACAGCGATGACACCAATTAATGCTATGCCGATGAAAACTTACTTTTATTAAGCCCACCAGTGCAGGCTCCTAAAACATTGACTACATTGAGATGTTTTCCAAGGTGTATCATAATCTTGAGTTCCGAAGCCAAAGCTTTGATCGTAGCTGAATCGGAGTTACGTTTGACCATTTTAACAGCAACTGTAGTTGCGACTCCGGGCTGTACTAGCTCATAGGCTTCTGCCTTCAAAACCATTCCAAATGCTCCAGACCCGAGCTGCTTCCCTGCAAGACATAGTTAGGTTTGCTTGAAAATACTGTAAAGAAATTCATTTCAATACGTAAAATCTCAGTGAGTATGTTTCTGAATAAAAGTGAGTCTTTCATAGAGAATGATGTCATTTGAAAGAATTCTTTGACTACAAAGAATTTAGTAAAGAATACCAAAGTAGTCTGCTTTATACTATCTATACCAAGCTCTCTTATGGTGTGTTTACACATTCGCTGCCAGGTGACACAAGGCCACTGACGTAGGAGTGAGACAAGTAGTAGGCAATGTGTTTAACAGTTTAGAACACTATGGTATGAGTTGTATTTTACTTCTGTATATTTCCCCTGGTAATGTGGCAGTGGTAGTGTTTTCCCATGTGTTATAGGTACTCACATGATCTCCTACAGTTGGCAAGCCTTGTGCAGGAACTACACTGCAAACACCTACTTCCTGGCCTTGTATTAACACATACCCAGTTTCAGTTTATCCCGCGGAAATTCCCACTTCTCTCGATCATAGGGAAGTAGATCCGCTTGCTCAGTTATATCAATTTGTGGATTAATTGAATCAACTTTTCCATGCTCAAAATACTCCAATCCAATTTCTCTAAGCTCCATGATTTTTTTCTGCAACATATAAATATTTATTGTATTACATTATATTGAAGTCTCGTATAAGCACGTTTTGTCAAGAGAGACTCTCTAATATTTTTGCAGCGAAATAAAAGAAAGATTTTAGTATCTGTGTATTTTGATTTGAGCGATTTTGTCGTAAAGACACTTTTCAAATTTGTTTGGGAACAGACCAAACTTTGAAAATTGATGTTTCTAGAGGTAATTATTGAGCAGAGCGAGCGAAGCGAGCGAAGCTCTTATACGTCGACTTTTATGCATTTCGTAATACGCAAACTCCTCCTAGACGGCTGAATCAATCGTTTTCAAATTTTGCATGGTGATAAAGACCATATCGGTGAGTGCCAACATCTATATAGCGTTAAAAAAGTCTCTCAGGAATCCGTAGAAAAATGAAACTGAAAATCACATTTTTTTAACATTAGTCTTATGGGTTGCTAGGTAACCATGTTGGCTGAATTAAATAACAAGTAAAAAGTAAACAAAAGATTTGAAGTTTTAGCATGTGCTCATAATAAGCCAACTACCCACAGTATACTAGGAAATTACAAATACAGTACAAAAGGAAAAACATCACTTGTTAATATTGAGCAAAGATTATACTTAAGATTACTCGATACATTGTAGTCAAGGGTAGCAGTGCGAAGTCTAGGATCTGTTTATGACGAATACATTAAGGTATCTGCAATCCTAAAATGCTATGGGAAGGGAAGGAAACAGGTCCGTGACGTAGGAAGTAGTGAAGGAAGTAGTATAGGCAATCATAAAATGCTATGGGAATAGAGGGAAACAGGTCCGTGACGTAGGAAGTGATGAAGGAAGTAGTAAATGCGAGCAGTCCGGAGTGTGGGGACTGTTTATGACGATAAGATTAGGGTATCTGCAATCCTAAAATGCTATGGGAAGGGAGGAAAACAGGTCCGCGACGTAGGAAGTGGTGAAGGAAGTAGTCAAGGCGAGTAGTCCGGAGTGCGGGAACTGTTTATGGCGATTAGATAAGGGTATGGGCAATCCTAAAATGCTATGGGAAGGGAGGGAAACAGGTCCGTGACGTAAGAAGTGGTGAAGGAAGTAGTCAAGGCGAGCTGTCTGGAGCGTGGGAACTGTTTATGATGATTAGATTAAGGTATTTGCAATCCTAAAATGCTATGGAAAGGGAGGAAAATAGGTCCGCGACGTAGGAAGTGGTGAAGGAAGTAGTCTAGGCGAGTTGTCCGGAGTGTTGGAAATGTTTATGACAATTAGATTAAGGTATCAGCAAACCTAAAATGCTACGGGAAGGGAGGAAAACAGGTCCGTGACGTAGGAAGTGATGAAGGAAGTAGTAAATGCGAGCAGTCCGGAGTGTGGGGACTGTTTATGACGATAAGATTAGGGTATCTGCAATCCTAAAATGCTATGGGAAGGGAGGAAAACAGGTCCGCGACGTAGGAAGTGGTGAAGGAAGTAGTCAAGGCGAGTAGTCCGGAGTGCGGGAACTGTTTATGGCGATTAGATAAGGGTATGGGCAATCCTAAAATGCTATGGGAAGGGAGGGAAACAGGTCCGTGACGTAAGAAGTGGTGAAGGAAGTAGTCAAGGCGAGCTGTCAGGAGTGAGGGAACTGTTTATGGCGATTAGATAAGGGTATGGGCAATCCTAAAATGCTATGGGAAGGGAGGGAAACAGGTCCGTGACGTAAGAAGTGGTGAAGGAAGTAGTCAAGGCGAGCTGTCTGGAGCGTGGGAACTGTTTATGATGATTAGATTAAGGTATTTGCAAACCTAAAATGCTATGGAAAGGGAGGAAAATAGGTCCGCGACGTAGGAAGTGGTGAAGGAAGTAGTCTAGGCGAGTTGTCCGGAGTGTTGGAAATGTTTATGACAATTAGATTAAGGTATCAGCAAACCTAAAATGCTACGGGAAGGGAGGAAAACAGGTCCGTGACGTAGGAAGTGATGAAGGAAGTAGTAAATGCGAGCAGTCCGGAGTGTGGGGACTGTTTATGACGATAAGATTAGGGTATCTGCAATCCTAAAATGCTATGGGAAGGGAGGAAAACAGGTCCGCGACGTAGGAAGTGGTGAAGGAAGTAGTCAAGGCGAGCTGTCAGGAGTGAGGGAACTGTTTATGGCGATTAGATAAGGGTATGGGCAATCCTAAAATGCTATGGGAAGGGAGGGAAACAGGTCCGTGACGTAAGAAGTGGTGAAGGAAGTAGTCAAGGCGAGCTGTCTGGAGCGTGGGAACTGTTTATGGCGATTAGATAAGGGTATGGGCAATCCTAAAATGCTATGGGAAGGGAGGGAAACAGGTCCGCGACGTAGGAAGTGGTGAAGGAAGTAGTCAAGGCGAGCTGTCAGGAGTGAGGGAACTGTTTATGGCGATTAGATAAGGGTATGGGCAATCCTAAAATGCTATGGGAAGGGAGGGAAACAGGTCCGCGACGTAAGAAGTGGTGAAGGAAGTAGTCAAGGCGAGCTGTCAGGAGTGAGGGAACTGTTTATGGCGATTAGATAAGGGTATGGGCAATCCTAAAATGCTATGGGAAGGGAGGGAAACAGGTCCGCGACGTAGGAAGTGGTGAAGGAAGTAGTCAAGGCGAGCTGTCAGGAGTGAGGGAACTGTTTATGGCGATTAGATAAGGGTATGGGCAATCCTAAAATGCTATGGGAAGGGAGGGAAACAGGTCCGTGACGTAAGAAGTGGTGAAGGAAGTAGTCAAGGCGAGCTGTCTGGAGCGTGGGAACTGTTTATGATGATTAGATTAAGGTATTTGCAATCCTAAAATGCTATGGAAAGGGAGGAAAATAGGTCCGCGACGTAGGAAGTGGTGAAGGAAGTAGTCTAGGCGAGTTGTCCGGAGTGTTGGAAATGTTTATGACAATTAGATTAAGGTATCAGCAAACCTAAAATGCTACGGGAAGGGAGGAAAACAGGTCCGCGACGTAGGAAGTGATGAAGGAAGTAGTCAAGGTGAGCTGTCCGGAGTGTGGGGACTGTTTATGACGATTAGATTAAGGTATTTGCAATTCTAAAATGCTATGGAAAGGGAGGAAAATAGGTCCGCGACGTAGGAAGTGGTGAAGGAAGTAGTCTAGGCGAGTTGTCCGGAGTGTTTGAAATGTTTATGACAATTAGATTATGGTATCAGCAAACCTAAAATGCTACGGGAAGGGAGGAAAACAGGTCCGCAACGTAGGAAGTGATGAAGGAAGTAGTCAAGGTGAGCTGTCCGGAGTGTGGGAACTGTTTATGACGATTAGATTAAGGTATTTGCAATCCTAATGCTATGGGAAGGGAGTAAAACAGGTCCGCGACGTAGGAAGTGGTGAAGGAAGTAGTCAAGGCGAGTAGTCCGGAGTGTGGGAACTGTTTATGACGATTAGATTAAGGTATCTGCAATCTTTAAATGCAATGGAATGGAGGGAAACAGATCTATGACGTAGGAAATTGTGTAGGATGTAGATGTGTGGATTTATGCATCTCCAATACTACGGTGCTTTCAGAGTGAACTAATGATTTTCCCCGAGCAAAGCTCGGTCCCCAGGTACTATAATCAAATGACGACACTAGCTTGAGGTTCGTGACGTATGAAGAGGTTAAGAAAGTAGTAAAGGTGAACAGTCTGGAGTATGGAAACTGTTTATGACGATTAGATTAAGGTCACAACGTTCCTAAAATGCTACGGAAAGGGAGGGAAACAGGTCCGCGATGTGGGAAGTGGCGAAGGAAGTAGTAAAGGCGAGCTGTTCGGAGTGTGGGATCTGTTTATGACGATTAGATTCAGGTATCTGCAATCTTAAAATGCTATGGGAAGAGAGGGAAACAGATCCGCGACGTAGAAACAGGTGAAATAAGTAGTAAGGTGAGCAGTGTGGAGTGTGGGAACTGGAAACCGTTTGTAGCAGTTTTAATGTATCTGCAATGCTGAAATGCTATGAGAAGGGATGGAAGCATGCCCACGACATAGGAAATGGTGAAAGAAGTAGCAAAGGCTAGCAGTACGGAGTGTGGGAATGTTTGTGGCAATTAGATTAACGTATCTAAAATACTAAAATGCTATAGAAAGTGATGAATACAGGTCCACAACGTAGAAAGTGGCTTAGAAAGTAGTAAAGTATAAGCATCAGCATAGTGTGAGTGCCGTCTGTGTCAGTTAGATTAATGTATCTTCAATACTAAAATGCTATGGGAAGGGAGGGAAACAGGTCCCACGACGTAGGAAGTGGTGAAGGAAGTAGTAAAGGCTGGCAGTGCAGAGTGGGGGAACCGTTTGGGCAGTTAGATAAATGAATCTGTAATACTTAAATGCTATGAGAAAGGAAGGAAACAGGTCTATGACGTACTAAATGGTGTAGGAAGTAGTAAGGCTAGCAGTGCAGAGTGTGGGAACTGTCTTTGGCAATTACATTAATGTATCTGCAATCCTGAAATGCTATGGGAAGAGAGCGAAACAGGTCCACGACGTAGGGTGTGGTGAAGGAAGTAGTAAAGGTGAGCAGTGTTGAGTTTGGGAATGGATTAATGTATCTGCAATGCTAAAATGCTACGGGAAGAGACTGTAGACTGTATGTTAAATGATAAGAAGCACGAATCGATACATATTTTCGATACATGCAGTCGTTTACAATCGAAATTTACAACTGAGTTGACAACAGCTGATTTTTACTTCATAGAGGCTAAAAACGATTTTTACTCCCTAAATATTAAAAATGCTACTTTAGACCTGCAGCGCATGCATGAAAAAATACTGTTTTTACTGCAGTAAGACAAAAACAATATAATATGAACCCTTGATGACTCCGCTCAATTTTGTGGATGCCTCTGCGAACGCCACCTAGTTAATACTTTACCACACAAAGCTAAAGAATTTAATTAAAGCCACTGCACTTTGTACATTTTTCCAAGTCTTAAAAATTACTATTAAATATTTTCTTACCTTATACTTCCGTACTTTGTAACAATACAAGACAACACCAACAAGTAGAAGGATGATCAGAACAGGAAGTATGTACCATATAAACCAGCGCAGGAACATAGATTTGACATCTGAAAAAATATGTTGCTTGTACATCAATTGACAAGATTGACAGCTCGTAGGGAGCAATAATTTCAACATGGAAAAATTAATATTTTACCTCAACAAAGGGACTATGAGGAGTGAAATAGCTGTGTCATATTGGATGAAATATAAAATGACTTTACTCAAAGAGACTGTATTGTCTCCGGATACAGCATGAGTGTATAATACAGGGTGTTTTTAAAAGAATGCCGGGATTTCAAACGGTCGTTGCTCGGGGACTATTCAAGATAATTAAACAATTTAAACGTCAAATTGAAGGGAAAAGAATAAGGTTTTTTCCTCATTCTTTCATACAATTCAGAATGATTTAATAAAATTCAGATTTTCATCAATCTTATATGAGCTTAAAACTGGCAAAGTCCTTACGCTTAGGGCCGGGGGGTTTATCTGATGTCTGAACTGAATCTTTTTCGGCACCAAAACTCTATCTTTTATAGATAACATCTTTAAGTGACCAATTTAGGTTCCTTAAACTGAAGTCTTCGTCGAGCAATCGATTATTTCGGGTTTCTGATGCAGAACTGTCGGATTTCATCGACTATGTCATCGCTTGTTTTTAGCCGGCCAGGTGAATGTCTTTTCAAAACACTTTGGTGCCACGAAACTCATTAAACCCGCTTCAAGTTTCATTATAATCAGATAGATTTAAATTTAGTTAAATTTAGCAATAGATACAAACTCTGCGAACTACACATTACATTCTGTGCCTTCTGTTGCGCCGTAAACGTCGTACTGGCGATTGGCGTCAGGTGTATGAGTCACAATAGCGGCCTATCACCCCGCACCTGTTTAACTCATGCCATGGTCAAGAGTGTGTTTTCTAGCATTGTTAAGCCTTTTACCTATTGCCTGAACTTATGTCTCTCTGAAGGAGTCTTTCCCCAAAGACTAAAGATAGCCAAAGTGATACCTATCCATAAGAAAGGCGATCCAAACAGTCCAGAGAATTTCCGCCCTATCTTCCTACTCCCAGAATTCTCAAAAATATTTGAATCTATAATTAAGGATCAGCTGTACAAATATTTCGAAGAGCACAATCTAATCAAGACCGGCCAGTGGGGGTTCAGGGCGGGTCTCTCGATCATAGATGAATAACTTCTTGATTAGCATTGTACGTGTTATTAAATAACCTGAAAAATACAGAAATTTCTGTATTTTTCACAATCATAGATGCACTAGATAAGCTTGAGGCAGTAGTACTGCATGGATTTGAGGCTGGAGGCTTTACTGGGGCTACCCTGTGTGACCTAAGTAAGGCTTTCGACACGGTCAACCATAGGATACTGCTGGGTAAATTGAACTTTTATGGAGTAAAGGGCTCTGAACTCCCGGCTCATGGAGTCATTCCTGACAGGGCGTGAGCAGAGGGTGCTCATAAATGGGCATACCTCTAGCCCTTGTCAGATAGCTCATGGTGTCATGTCCCACAGAGGTCTGTACTGGGCCCCCTTTTGTTCATTATCATGACCGATGACCTCATTCCAAATTTCGGGGGAAATTTCATCTGCTATGCTCAAATGTCTGAGTCTATGGGGATAGCATCGACATGGTTCCGAGCTAACTTTTTTAAGTTAAACAAAAGTAAATCCCAAACTATTGTTTTTACTTTAAATCAGATGAATCATGTCGTTTCAAATGTTAAATTACTAGGCCTATATTTGGATCAAAAGTTAGACTGGCACTGTCATATTTCTCATGATTGAAGTCGCTTGCCTAGGGTAATTTTTCTCCTAAGAAGACTTAGTGACTCTGTACCCAAGGAATGGTTAAAAATAGCCTATGTTGCATGGTTTCCAGAGTGTACTTCTGTATGGTTTGCGTTTGTGGGGCTCTGCATCTGGGGTTGATAGGGTTTCTTTTGCAAAAGAAAGCAATAAGGATTGTGACTGGTGCAGATTATCTGGACCGTTGTAAATCAATCTTTGTTGCCGAGTCTTTGATGACAATTTAATCTTTTCATTTTGCAGTGTCTCATTTCATGTAAGAGGAAGCTTGGCACTCTCGAGCTCAGAGGAGGGGTCCACCACTACAATACTAGAAATAATCAGGATCTAAACATACCTTATGTTAGACTAATGAAAACCCAGGCTAGGAAGGAAATTTTGAGCATGACATTAATGAACACGGTTCGGATCCTGCCAATCACAATATTCCAAAAGAGGGTGAGGGAGTTTCTATTGGCTAACCCACTTTACTCAGTTCATGAGTTTTTTTAACTTCCTGACAACCTATAAGTATGTTTTAATTTATTAGTTCTGCAAGTGTGGTTTTTCTTTTCAATGCATGGAGGGTTACAGGAACAAACAAATAGTGTAGTTATTGCTATTTTACTCTTACTTAGTATTAGTTCATTTGACTTATTCCATGTGTCATGTTCACGGAAATAAAGCATTTCATTTCATGTTTCTGTCAACCCTAGGCTACGTTGTATTACACAACTAATGTGGTGCTGATATACCTATGAAAATACTGTATGTGGGCTATATGATTAAATCACTTGTTTATAAGTGTATTAATTTGAACCCTTTGGGTGCCGCGGGGAGGGTAAGGCAATTTGATTTGAGGTTGCCAGGCATACATGTGGTATACCTGCTAGAAATGTCATTTCGCCAGATAAAAAGTTTATAGTAAAAACCTCATACAATATTTATTTATTGACATGTTTTACTCATTTTTTGTTGTTTTGATTTAATATTATTATATTTTGCAAAGTAAAATACACATTTCAATAGGTTTTTTATGTGGTAGAATAAATATATGTTGGCAAAACATATCTATTCTAGTAAGGCACAAATTTCCCCATCTTGGGCTGGTGCTCTGTGTAATTTGTAATAGGCTTAATTTCATTTCTAGAAAAAGTTGGGCTTGAATATCAATGCTTGAAAATTACTACAAGAACTAGCGTTAGGACTTTTGTCTGATATGTGAAGTCCAAGGTCTACCTTTATCACCTTTAACCCTAGAGAGGCATTGTGCTATAAACAAGATTTGTCTAAATTCAAACTGACACATAAACTGAGAGTCTCGTCCTCCAACACTTTTCAAATGGCACTGTTATTCATGACTAATCAATATTATTGACCAACTAACAGTCCAAAATAGTAAATCACCGTAGTATTAATAAAAAAAAACATGCAGGCTACAAATATAACATAACAGTCAAAATACAATCGTGCAACCAAGTCTTATGCCTCCGATTGCAAAACACATCATGCAATTATCCACAAACTAAACTAAAAAAACTAGCAGGAAAATAAAAACAAATATGGCTTTTGTTTATAAGGTTTAACATTTATAGGACAATTTATTTAGAACCACAACCTGTAAATAAAGCAACAAAATCTAAAACAACAAACATTTATTGGGCACATAAACAAATGGAACAATAACACAAGAACCTGGTGTGTAAAGTAGTCTACTACTGGTTTATTCTAAATTGTTTTTGATTGGTTGACTGCATTTGTCTAACAAATGCCATCATCTGTTGCGATTTCTGGCATTTCTCGCGGATCCTCGGCCGTCTTGCTACGAGACGCTCGGCACTCAGGCTACGACAATCGAGGGTCTCGGGAGAGAGATGACACGGCACTCAAAGGCTTAAAACTTATTTTAAGTCAATTAAAAGGTCAAACAAATCTTACAACATTGGGCACTTTAGATAAGCTAACAACAATTAATGATTATAAATGTTACATAAAAGATACAACCCAAATGCTTTGATTTTAGTTCTCTTCTGCGCCTCACAAAGACAAATTCATAGTAAACAAAAAGAAAAATTATTCTAAATTTTAACTACCTGTTGTTTGCAAAACATAGCCCTATTAAATTACTACACTCATTGCATCAATGTAAATATTTTAACGAAAAATATACAACCAGGTGGTTTCATATGGTAAGTATTACCATATGTGTATATATGTGTATATAGTGTCATTTTATCCATTCCATGGTTCAAGGGATTTACATTTACACATCGATCTCTATTACCACAACCAGATCGCACACTATGTGCTGGGTTTTCGGTCTGTCCGCTTGGCTCTCCCCCCACCACCTAACACCCAAACTGTCTCTCTCTTACGCATTACCTCTTATGGCGTTTCAATGTTTGCCCTCACAAAAGATGCTATATCTCTGTTTTACAGTTGCTTGATTTTCAATTACCGGTAATTTACACGGTGGTAATTTGCGTAAAACTTTGGAGATTATGGTATGGATTTTATATCAAAATGATTCGGTTGAAGATTATAATATTCAATACCGAAATCTTCTAAATACTGTTTGTTGCTGCCACCTTATAACGCAAATCCTTTAGGAAAGAACTTAATTTTAAGTGAAATAGTATGTAAACTAACACCGAAGGCGAAGATCAAAAATTAATCTTCAGTGTAAGATTAAGTTATCCCAATGTAACATTATTTCTGTTATATTTTGAATGTCAGGTTAAGTGTGAGAAAGGGCCATGTGGCCCTAACTTTGCCTGAAAAAATAAAAAAATTTTCATTTCATTTCATTTCAATAATTTAGTAAACAAACTAGCTGTGTGCCCGTTCTACGCACGGGGATCTTATCATAGTCAGTTAAAACCTTCTTATATAAAGCACAGCAGTTGGTTTGCATACTTTCAGATATGCTGACAAAACTATTCCTTCGCAAATACAGTATCTGACAGTTTCAAGCCAAAACTAATGCTTCGCAATTAAATGTCACCCGGATCTTGTTGGTCCATATGTTATATCCAATGATTAAACTAAATAAACGGGTTCAGCATTCTGACACATACTTTCTCCCATAAGTTTGTCAACAACCTTTATCATGTGTAAGCGGTGAGAGTAAATATACGGAAATGGGATTTGTACAATTTTGTTCAGAATTTAAAGGACTATAACATAATGGTTAAAAGTATTTAAGGTACTACCTCAACCTCTAAATTTAACACTTTATTTGGGTTGACATTTTCATTATCAAGGCGCTCTTGTCCTTTCCGTGAAACATTGAGAAACAAGGACATTAATGCGTTACCATCATACATACACACAAAAATACCGAACTTAATTAGGGAATCTGCTACGCTTTAAGCATAAAAAGGTACATATAAAATTAGTACTTGAAATCTTTGTTAATGCCATAAAATTTGATCATAACAATTTATATTTGCTTGGACCGGAGATGACTCGAAATTCTGTGGAAATGCTATCTGAACACATCAATTAAATTGAATAGGCCTACGCCTGTAATAAATAAGGTGCAACACCAACGATAACTAATTTGTAAATTACTGTGATGTGTTGGTACGTAAAAATGATTCTTGCTGCTACTAAAGGTTAAAAGGAAAAGAACCAGTACCGTACCAAAAACCAACGTTTACAGTTAAGAACTGTAGTACAGCCGACCAATTATATGCATTAATCAAGGTTATTGATCTCTTGGTTTTGGATTTTCTCGTAAAAAGTTATCGGCAATCAAAGTTATTTCCCATTAATTGCTTTATTTGTACACAACTCTTAATGCAAACTTATCGGTGTCAGTTTGAAAAAAAAACCTTATACAACATAACTTTCTGTTATTTAATAGATTACGTATTCTCTAAACAATGGTTGCTGGTATATATATTAACATTATAAGGAAATGTGACAAAAATCACACAACGTTGGGTTTTTGGACGTTTATAATTTTATTTCTTAAGTACCTAGGTAGGCCGTGTATTCTATGGAAAAGTACCGGTATCAAGGATCGTTGTCGAAAGGGTTGTTATAAATAATTGGGTAAGCATACGTACCACACGTACCCAAGAGAAGGGCTATGAGCCTTTTGGCTGTATGGTCCAGCGATTGCATCACACGGTGAGTAGGAACTATTGACTTTATATAGTCAATGGTAGGAACAGAAAGTGACACATTGGAAAATCGAGTTCAGCATCATCCGTAAACCTCTGTTACAATCACCCACTGCAGTTGTAATATTTTGCTTTACACTTTACACAACCGCCATTGAAGAGCCGTCAATGAGTAGAACATTGTTTCTAAGCTATTGGCGACGGTCATTAGTAAATTTAAGTTTCCCAGCCGTATACAACACTGATTCAATGTCTTCTTTCTGGTTATCAAAACTCCAAAACAATTTTATACACATATTTCTGGTTCCTGACCTGGATGATGCCTAGTTATTTAATTAACGGTTACACTATATTATTCCACTTGCGATTAATTAAATCCTTTATGTAATAAAAACGTTTTTAATCTCACTTGGATGGGATTTGCCTTCAAAACGTGATCGGAAATGGTTGTGGTGTTTGTAAACAACATTTGTAAACATTTCAGTGACAGCTAGAAAAAATAATCTTGATCCGAACAGCTGTTCGTTGTTTCATAGATGATTATGTGATACAAATTGGAAGAAAACTTGACAAAAATCGCACAAAACTGCATTTTTGAACGGCCGTAATTTTAATTACAAAGTAGTGAGACCATATTTTAATGGCTAAAGACACTCTCGCCAATCCAGTGAATACATTAAAATGACTTGGGTCTTGATAGGTACTCTCGTTTTCCTGGAGAAGATTGCGTAAAATGCCATCTTGAGTGTGTCAGACAGACAGACAGACAGACAGACAGACAGACAGAAATTTAGATGAGACTTGTTTCGGCTTCTTTAATGTATAAAACGTAAAAATAACCTAAAAATGTATGATTCTGAGCAATGTACAGACAAAACTCTAATTTTATTTATATAGATAGATAACTCGTAACATAAACATTTCAATGACAGTTTGTAACCAGCTGTTAGTTAATCCAGCACTGAAACAACTTTAAATTGTTGGCGTCGGCTACACTATTGAAAAATAAAAATGTAATTTCTATAAATCTGAAACTATCAACTAAAATTATGGCTTCGACAATCCCTTCCTTTCAAAATTATCTTTCTTTCAACACGAAAGTAATGAAAATCCTTCAAGTGGTTGATTCAGAATCGTTAAATAAAAAAAAAACCTGTCACGTTTTGATTTATACGATTTTTGTTTACCAGCTGTGTGGAATTGTGAAATCAAGTGCATTTGACAGTTCTGCTTGTTTACTTAATACTTAGTAATGTCAATGTAAAACAAAATATTATAGTGCTGCACTCTGTTGCTAAGCCACGTAACTTTTGATGCTATTGAACATCATTGAAGCCAACTTATTTCTTCAGTTGAAACAGCCGTTAAGATTCTTTGATTTTTTTAAAATATGAATATGCATAAAGGGAACATGGGAAACTCCAGAACCACTGGGGCGGAGCGAAAAGGAGAGATAAGAATATGCCTATATGTTAATCGGGAATGTGAGCTATCATCATGCCAAATTTCAGCCCATTCCGACCAGTAGTTAATGTGTGATTGAATTCCAAACAAAGAAACAAACAAACTAACAAACATACAAACACACAAACTTTCACATTTATAAAATTAGTATGATAATGATATGATATGAAGTATAATATAATATAGTACAGGGTGGCCGAAAAGTCCCTTTACACTAAAGATAAATTCAATTGGTGTTGATTAAAACCATAGTAATCCAATTTAATCATTTTTTTGTGGAATACATCAAGTGAACATAATTTTTAGCCCAAAACATTGGCATGAATACCTCCATTGTCTCGGAAAAGCTTGACTCGACTCCAAGTTCACTAGCTCATTCGTTTCAGCATTTCTGGGTTGATTCGTGCAAAGGCCGCCCTTACTCTCTATTGGGTGTCGCCACGTCCTAGGGCTGTGGCGGTTGTTGGGAAGGGAGAGTGAGGCTTCAATCTCTTCCCCCCTCCCCCCACTGTTGCCTTACTACTCACGCACGAATATTTGCTGGTCTGTCGTGTTTATAACAGTGTAATACGTACTGCAATATTGTGTAAAGGGACTTTTTGGCCACCCCGTATATGATAGTATGATATTAAGCCGCATTTTCATGAGGCCAGTAGAGCAGGCAGGTGTTACCCTCAAGGATTACGTCAATGGTGTTGACCGTTGAATAAATAAATAAATAAAAACTCTAGTGTATTTCAAGTTACCTGAGGCAGGTAGCCTGCCCACCATATGGCTTCGTGTACATGCAGCTATATAACAAGAAATCACACAGGTGATATTTGGAAAAAGAGGAGGCCGTTGTGTTGGTCCACTTTAGTCTATTGATGATATCGGCCAGACAACAAATTTTTTCTTGGGTTATAATAGTTAGTAGTTAGTGTATGATGTCTATTTAGGTGAAAAATTTGTTAAAAAAGATTATTAAAATTAAACTTTACAATGTGTCAATAACACCAACACGGGTAGGACACCATACGTTGAATATTAACATCATAGCTTATGTTTCAAATTTTACTTTTTGTGAACACCAGGCATTATGAACATTTGCATACACCGTATATGAGAGATGCAAGTATATACAATTTGTACATTCAGTAATGTATGAAGAATTATTTACCAGAGATCTCAATGTCTATAACCAGCGTGTCTGAGCCTGCCTTGTTAGTGGCAACACATTTATATACTCCCTTGTGCTCCAAACCTACACCTCCAATCTTCAAAGCCTGGTTGTTCTTGTTCAGTTCTATGTTTTTGTGCTTATCTTTTGTTATCTCCATGCCATTCTGAAAATTGTCATAGTAAAATATTAGGCCAAAATTATAAACAATTTTGTTGAATACAAATTTAATTATCTGCCACTATCCCGGCTCTAGACTGTTTCGTACAGTTCATTCTGTTCACAGTCACACCAAGTCGTCACAAGAGAATTCAATGTAAAACTCAATATCTATCCTAGAAATGGACGTTATTGAACTATTTGTTCAGGACCGAATTTTGATTTCCTTACCCTATTTTTGGGATAGAAAAAGAACGGATTTTTATTTTCTTCCTGATTTTCTGGATGAGAACAGGACAGGGTTTCATATCTGTACAACAAGGAAAACCAAACAAGATTTAAAAAATCTTGAGTAAAAATTCTTCCCAATGGAAATAACGACAAACAAAATCAAATTGCAGCTTTATTGTACTGAAAAAAAAACAAACAATGAGAGAGAAAAAACATATTTATTGCAATCCAAATAAAAAATCTTATAAAACAACACTAGCTTGTTACAAACAGGTATTTAGGATAACTATTACAGCATTTACAAAAACTGTAGAGGATTTTAAGGTATATCTAATATTGATTGATACCAGTAGAAATGCAATAGGACCTAATCCTCATTTATTTTAATTTTTTTATGTGTATTTATCACAACTATAAATGTTGTCATGTGTCATGGTGATCACAAAGACATCATCGTTACCAGACATAACGACTAAATCAAGAACGTCTCCCACAACCGCAGGAATATCATAATCTTCACTTGCAATCGTGGTGAAATCGCTCACGGTTGGAACAAATCCCGTCCCTAGAAAATGTTAAATTAAATGCAATCTTGCCAAAAGACCTAGAGAATGAAATTGCCAAAAGACCTAGAGAACGAAATTGCCAAAAATATCCTAGAATTTCAGGATGTGTTTATCTCCAGTAAGTTAAAAAAGTAAATCCCTAACCATAACTATCAAATTCAAAATATTTGTAGTCTGTTTTGGGAGTGAGTTGGTCTTTGTTTTCCAGCTCCATGGTTAAAATCCTGCCAGTCACCTATGGGCTTTAGCTAAGTGGAAATGACGCCACCTCCTTGGCCTAGCCTGAAGTAATGTGAAAAACAAAAAAAAGGAAGAATATTTGTTTGCCTATAATCAGAGTCATGTTAAGAGTCTCACCATGTACCATGTGATGACGGGAGGAGGTGATCCCTTGACCTTGCAGTGAAGATGAACTGGTTGACCTGTGCGTACTGACACTTTGACTGACACATTCTTGTTGATTACTGGCTTCTCCAAGTCTGTAGAACAAAGGTTTGTATTAAAAACCCACGGATTATATAACATGACTTATAACTAAACAATTTAGCATACCTCGTCAGACAATGCTTAACATGTAGTGTCGAAAATTTCTACATATGTTTTGGCGGCTATTTAAGCGTCTCCGCCATCGTATTGTTAAATAGCTGCCAAAACATATGTAGCAATTTCGACACTACATGTTGAGGATTGTCTGACAAGGTATGTTTAACCATTATTTGTCATATTAACTCAATCCTGTGGCTATGAAAATGAATTTTAAACAATTTAGATTTTAGGTTATTGGTGTTCCGTTAAATTCTTGCTTAGAACACTCTCCTGGATTCAGAGAAACAGTAGCACAAACACTGACATTAATACCCCAGGTTGATTCAACCATGCCTTTTTTTATCATGTCAAATATTGGTCGTGTCATGAAGACCAAGATGAACTTTGTTTATGACTAACTTATGTTTAGCATAGGAAACAATTATAACTCAACCCTGTTATTTTTATTTATTTACTCTTTTTTTTTGCTCGACCCAAGGGTGATTTAGCTTTCACTGAGTACTGGTAAACCAGAGTCTCTAACAGAGAAGTTGTAACCTCGTATTCCAAAGAGCAGTACATGTTAAGTGTAGATTTAAGGTGCTTTTTATGAGTTATGCTCCCGTAAATAGTTGCATGTGATGGTTTTGTTAAGTAACTAGTGATAGTGATATATCAGCCTTGAAGGATTAAGCCCTATTTTGAAAGATAGACTAACCTTAACCTAAGTTTCAATGAAAATTAAGACTCCAATATGAATTAATTAGATCAATACATCACTACAGCCTTGTGTGAAGGCCCTAAAAAACTAACTTCGTCAATAAATTAAATCTTACCTTTAACATCCAAGGTGAACTCCTTTTTATGGGAACGGTTTCTTTCATAACTCAACTTAGCTGAGCAAATGTAGACTCCTGAGTGGTTTTTACCCACCCGTGGTAAGTTCAATTTGTTGAAGTAAGAATATTTTGTTTCGCTCTTCATACCTAGAAATCGTAAATTTAATAGTGTATTACTGGCATTAAGTTTTATTGCAAAGTACTCTATATATAACTTTCAAACACTGATGGATTATGGGAAACTACAGTCCAGCTGTATTAAGTCCAGGTTGTATGTGCAATTAATTGCTCATACAAACGACTTGCACACTCTCGTAACTTGAATTAAGTTACCATCTATATCAGGGGGTCTCCAAACTAGGGCCCGTGAGAGGTTTTTGTACTGCCTGCGTTGGCATGATGAGTGATGTGTCATAAAATTATGATCGTAGCCGTAGCTGAATCAAGAAGACTCCCTCCCCCAGTGCCGGGTGGTCATTTCCCAATTGTGGGATGAAAACAATACACAAGTCACATCTATGCTAGGAATTCAAAACAAGACAATCAATAAGAATCTGATTGAACCTTGTACCCATGGGCCCTACTTTACAATATATTTCTCAGTCTCTATCTTAAGCAATATTGTATTGCCAATTATTTGGAAAATTTAAATTTTTGTTTTATTATAGTTGTTGTGGTAGCATTTTTTTTATTTTATACAATTAATTATTTGTTTGTAGTGGTTGTTTTGCACACTTTATCTTAGGACGGATTTCTCACTACAGGTAATAACTTTAAGAATATTCTGTAAGGTATTTTCTGAATTATTTTTACAAGCTTTAAGGATTTTTATAAACCAACAAGAAAATAACTGTAAATTAAAATGACCCAAAAAAGGAAGCTTTGCACTTTAACTCCCCTTTTCAGATTACATGATATTAAACTTTTTCTTTGTCAGAATGCTTAAAATGATGACTTTACAAGTATAATTTTGCACAAATTTCCGGGGGAGTAACCCCAGACCCCCCTCCCTCAAACCCCCCGGTAATTGTAATATTCAAGGTTGGGGAATCTTTTTAAAGGTTATGATCCAGTGCATCAGCAAATGGTAAAAAAAAGAGGTGATTGTATTGTATTGTAATGTGTCATTGTTATTTAAAACTGTTAAGTCTGATAATAAAACTAACATATACAGGAATATTCAATTATTTACACAATTTTATGCATTACATTATTTACGTGATAAAAAATTTAAAACAAACTATGTTTTAAGATTTGTTTTTATAGATTCTTATCTATATCTATAAAATCCAATGTATGTTTGTTTGTATGTTTGTCCTTTATGGACTCCAAAACCGCTCGACAGATTGTAATGAAGATTTCAGGCATTATTAAGCATTATTCAAGGATGGTTTGTGTGAAGTTTTGGTGCAGATCCGTCAGCGAACAAACTTCAACCTGGAGGCGAGTTAGCGTAGCGAACGAGCTAACCTGAAGGCAAGTGAGCGCAGCGAACGAGCTTCAACCTAAAGATGAGTGAGCGTAGCGAACGAACTTCAACCAGGACGTGATTGAGCCATGCGAACGAGCTCATCTTGAAAATGAACGAGCATGTGACATAAAACCACAATAGGACAGGACGACGTCTGTCGGGCCAGCTAGTAAATTATAAAATTCATGGTCAATGAGAAATCATTTAAGTTGTGTTTTGAATTTCTTAAAATTTAAAATTTCTCCCCTTAATTTCATATAGGGCCTACAGTACATACACAAGACTATCTGTATCTGTGTCCATACAGGATGGATGAATAAAAAGTCAAGACCCCCTATCTAACATTTTTCTAAGTAATTATACAGACATACCCTTTTGGTAGTCGTGCAAACTTAACAGGAAGTTTCATTTTATAATAAGAAGATTATGATAAGAAAAAATCAATGTAATCCAAATATTGGCTACTATTTTAGATAGAGAAGAGATAGCGAACTATAATTTTCACCATTCATAGCTTTTCAAAGAATTTATAGACGTAGACATATTCTGTAACATTGCCTAGCTATATTATTCTATTATTACATCAACCTTAAACATTACCAACTTAATTTTAAACAGTATGACTTAAATTGGATTTCTGTAAATATGAAGTCTTTTTCAACCCGTCCTTATGACAGTACGTATCTGGATCCGGATCCGAATTTTTCAAGATCCGGATGTGGTACCAACATTTTCTTGGATTCGTCCATCACTAATCTAGATCTTTAAAAAGTAAAATGGCAGGCTATGGCCTTGTTATTTCAACATTGGAATTGAGTTTTGAACCATATTAAAATGTGCAAATTGCGCATGGGTCCCCAAGTTTATAAAATCAAAATAATAAGACGTTGTTTAAAAGAGGACAAAATAGGACATCACCAACCTTTGATCTCAGAAGTTGCTCCACTTTTGTCCACTTTAACCCAACCTGGAGTGCCTGTGTAGTTGTATTTAGAGGCACCACAACTCAAAGTTACGTTGTCAGTTTCTACCACTAACTCAGGTGCATCAATAGACATACCACCTTCTACATCTGTAACATACCATCAATAAAACTCTATCCCTGCACAGAAATGTCCTTTTTGTCTCAAAATACCATCAGATAACGAATCTAAATTGTTGTAAGATAATTGATCATTGTTTGTAGGGTAGCAAGTAGTAAAACTTGCTACATTTTTCTTGGCAGTTATTAGAACTCCACCATCGTCAATCTAAAAAAAAATCCACCTCTCAAGTTATCATCAGAATAAATTAAACCAAGTTTACACAAAAGCCCAACATCAAAAAAAAGAATGAAAAGTATCCAAGATAGACCATAAATTGTCGTAGTTATTGTGTTATGTAAACTTAGTTAAAGTGAATCTATTTGTTAGGCTGATGATGGCAGAGATTCAACCACCAAAAGATATATGTAGCAAATTTTACCATATATACTACTACTCTACGTGGCAAGGATTATCGAACGAGGTGCACGTTAGCCATTCTTTGTTATTAACCCAGTTCCAAGGCTAATAATTAAATGTAAATTGTTGAGACAAATTTTTATAAAAAAAATAAACATTTCTGCTTTTCCAGGATTTTCTCACTGCATACAGAATAAATCATCTCATTTTGCATGACGTACTTATAACCTTAAACTTATAAAGGAAAAAATACAGCTAAATAATTTACAAGGATTAAAAATGCAATTGTTTTACCATGTGACACTTTATCAGCCTAGATTTGAAAGCTGTGATGTCCAGCTACTTATGTCTAATAGGAAGTATATAAATATATTGAAAAAATATCAGTATTCTTGATTCTTGTACTAAACAAGCTTTAAAATGGTCAAAAACCAAAAAACCCTTACAAAGTAACTTAAATTTAACAAAACTCTCAATGATAAAAAAAGTTGTGAAACTAACCCTGAAAAAAATATTTTACAGTTTACCACAACCCAAACCTTGCTTTTTTTGTTTGTATTTTGTTGGAGTTAGTTAAAGGGGAATAACTGGCGATTGGCAAGCTAACTAAGAATACATAAAATAAGTTGTATTTTTTTTCCGATTAACATATGCACCACTTGTAATGTTATAATTTACCTGTAAGAAGCATGGAAATTTTTCTTTCGTTACACTTCAGCTCGTTGCAAGTCTGACATTGCAGGATACCTGTGTTTACTGCCTGAATTTCTACAACGGAGTTGAATAGTGCAGGGTTGACGTTTGCAATATCGTGTTCTACGTACTGACTTTTCTATTAAAACAATTACCAGGATTAAAAAGTGTACTATAATAAAACAACTCTTCAATTGCTTCGCTGACAGTCAAACTCTATAAAAAACCACCTGAAAACTTGTTTTAAACTTGATATTTTCAGTTATTTATCTATTGAACATTTAGGTTTAACCCTTGAGAGGGAGAGGGTGAACCAAGAAATATAATAACATGTTTATTATGGCATAGAATTATTAAAAATTTACATTTTACAACTACAGTAGAACCTTGATAACAAGACACTCATAGGGATTATAAATTAAGACTTGTTATCAAGGTTGACTTCTTATCAAGGTTTACAATAACATGTGATTAAGGCTAAAATAATTTCAAGGGGATTTGAAAATGACTCTTGTTTTCAAGGGTGACTTGTTATCAAGGGTCTTGTTATCGAGGATCTACTGTAATATAAAATATACATCTCAAAGATGCTCAACAGTAAGCAAAAATTAAAATTATAAGAAATGAAACCATAATTAATTAAACATAACCTTTTTGTTTAAGGGACTAGGTATAGAATATAAGTATAGGGAGCCAAATATAAGTTGGAGGGATTAAATTTTAAGGGCTACCAAGAGTGAAACACGGTATCATTGTAAGTAGTTGCATAACTGAGCGGTCATAATTCTCCCCTAACAATTAGAAGGTCGCCTAACAATGCTGAGAAAAGCCATAGCTTTATGATGATTCGATTTAACTCAGCTGCTGCTATTAAAAGTCCTTGGAGAATGGATTAAATATCCATCTTGGATAATTTCAAACAGCCGCTAAAGAGTTATTTACCATCTCAAAATATTTGTACCAAAGTGATTGTAATTTAAATATCTACTATACTGTGAGATTAGAAATTTTCTTTGTAGTTTTTTAATTATTTTATGGGTTAGAACGTGTAGGCTCCAGGACTCTTAATCGTTGGGTTTTAAATAAATTATCCTGATCAAAGCTAAATCAGCAACTGAGTCAGTAAAAACAAAGCTACACAGACTACATCACTCCATCCTACACTCACCCTGCACTAATTCATTTTTTAAACACAAAAATTGGGTGAATTGGGGAATGAGTTATTGAGTGCTATAGTTACAAATCAAAAGATCAGAAGGTGGGTAGTAGAAGACAGCTAAGGAGAAAGGGTAGAACACTATAGGCTAAGATGGTTTGAAGTTTGAACATGTAAGGAAAATGTGAGAAGAGAGAATTTCTTGTACAATCGTGTTATAGGATAGATGAACGAGGTAAAGAAAGAGGTGGAGAAGAGAAAAGCGGGATGGTAGAGAGTGGTTGAAGAGGAGCTTTGAAGGGATAGAAAATGAAGATGCCTATCTACCCACAACCAGACTTTTTAATAGTCAGAATAGAAAAGGACAATGTTCAACTTTATATTATTAACTATCTTCAGCTCACTGGAATCATGGAGAACTCGTGGGTGCATGAGGGGTAGTCTGGACAGGGTTGGAAGCTCCATGTGATGTTGGGCCGAGGGAGAGCATACACATCACAGCTTATTGAGTAGGATTTGTTGAGCATGTAATACGCCTCGTCAATGTCATTGTTTATACGCAACTCTGGGGCCCCTGCAATTCAAGGTGGTTAGCATTGTGAGAATCTCTAAAAAAAGTAGGTAGTTCTTTAATTTATATTCCAGTATAATGAATGGTAAAAAAGGCTCACACCTCCATTTGTCGTACCTGGGATGGAATAAACTGCAATGGGAATTTACTTGTAATAAGATGCGTCTAAAAGGGAGACTGGTATTCACTGGATTTTTCCATAAGTACTCTTCTTGATGGGTCGCACAGACTAATGAGTGCTTTCCATTACCAAAAGGACTCACCAGTTAACAGCAATTAGCCAACTATTTCAGGCCCAGGTCAGAGAATGCAGCATGACTGCAGAGATTCAGCATCATCCCGACGCAACAGAGACTGCGCCATGGATGTTGTTCCCCAAGGGTTTCCATCTGTGCTGCATGCGCTGAATCAATGCAAACTATGACTTTATCACCAAGGACATAACTAGTATAACGAAGGGGAAGATTTCCAGATTCCTTTGGACTCTTCTCCGTGTAGGAGGGGCTTCCATTTGACCTGCTCCAACTTCAGAATCAGCTTCGGGACCAGATGCTATAACATCAAAGGGCTCACACTGGCCAAATGTGTTCATCACAAATGGACTTGGAAAAATCAAAAAATTGTCTATGGGCTTACACGGTCCAAGATACATGAACGGTGTGTGTGATAGTCAAAGTTTTAATGAATATTTTGAAAATAAATAAGTTGTCAAAGGTTCGTATCCGTCAGAATACGCCTACTGTTATTGCATTGAATTGCTCTAGTAATTGGGTTATTCTATGCGTTCTTACTCACGCTCGATGCACCGAATATTGACGTCGCAGCTTTTGTTTATGTAATGCATGACGTTTTTTAACATTACTACAATCACTACAGGTATATATCCGAACGTTTACTTTTAAAACACTCTGCTCCCAATGCATTTGCCACTCATCTAATATCTCGTCTCTTCTGTTTCTGATGTAGTCCTACCCTCCTCCTTGTCTTCCAAAACCAACAGCTTATGCAGCGATTATCCAACAGTCCTAAATTGAATGTGAAATCTTCAGGCGGCTGTTGGAGAGCACACTCAAACCCAACACGGAAGGGTGCTTGCTGTATTCGGCTATCAACGACAATAGTATTATTTGTATTTCGTTTGTGTCTACCAGTTAAAGTTCGTTGGCATTCTACTCTTGGCCATCCTGGTCGACGTCTTATAGTCTCCATTATGTAGTACGTTTGTTGGTTATGTTTTGATTTTGTCTAAATAAAAACTGGTAAAACAGGAAAACAACAATCTTTTCCTACAGTCACCCGACAAAGTTGGCTTCCTTGTACTGTTTATAGTACAGAAAGCTGCTAATTGTTGCATATTTATACTTTGTCGTACAGTTTATACTTTGTCGTACGGTTTATACTTTGATGCACATCAGGATTCCAACGAAACAACCCAAAACACTGTGGTTCTATTATGCACGTAATCCGTATACGATTGGAAATAGGTTGGCAACACTTTTAGATAATAATACTATGAGCAGCTGATTGACTATCATAACTACGATTTAACCTGTCATTTTGTGTTTATAGTTTTGGTATTTCTGAACTTTCTGGACTTTTCTTGTTTTTTAAAACATTCCTACAATCTTTATAAACAAGAAAATACCTTTAAAGCATTTTTTTAGGCGCAGAAACCACTTCAAATTAAAAAAACATACGGAACTATATTCTCAAGTCGCGGAGCACATTTCTTGCCGAGGAAAAATAGCGGAGTGATACGGACCGGATACTACTTTCTCTAGGGCACCTATTTGTGTTGCCAGCTGAACCTAAAAACGTGTTGTATAGTGTTTGAAAGACTAATTATTTATATACTTTATAGTGACTGTAGGAAAAATATAATGTGTAACACCAGTGCAAAAGGCCTTTGCTGCACTCTAGATCATTCCGCACGAGCCGCTGCTCTCGTGTGAAGCAAAGTGCCTCTTTGCCCTCTAGTTACACAAATAACTATTTCAACTAATCTAATAAATCCTTGTAGCACATGTTTCCAACCTGTATAACCAGCTGTTTTATATATTAGTGTCAATTTCAAAGTATTCATCTGTTCAAATGTAAACAAACATTTTCTCCCTAAGAATAACATGGCAACTTTGAAGGCCACTGGGGCAGAGCCCTGATGGAATTCCAAAGTTTTTTTGTTTGATGGCAAAACTACATGCTAAGACCTTTCTAACGACACCTTTGACATGGTGATTGGTAGCACCACCGCTCCAAAACAATTATGACAAAAATATGCCTAGCGTATTAAATATATAGATTAGTATTTAAAATTGCATTGTTATTAGTAGATTCAGCTTATAGGATTTCTGTTTACGTAAAGATATTTTTGTTCAAGATTAACTATGTTAGTATCTATGTAGTATGTATTGCCTTACCCTTGACTAGTAGAGTGACTTTGACAGACTCGTTCATTGCCTTGTTGTTCACCACCAACGTGTACGTCCCAGAGTTGTCAACTCTTGGCTCACGAATTATCAGCTTCGATAGTGTTGGACTGTTCTCTGCGATGAAGCTGTCCCCTTTCCCGATAATAGGCTTCATGTAGTTATCATACCTTCAAAATATGTCTATTTCAGAATCAAGTTGCATTGATTTCTACTAGCAACTAACTTGTGCTTTGCAGCCGAATGAGAGATTAGATGAGAAGAATTTAGTTACTTCGAAAGTCAACTAATGAACCCCTTTTTAACTAAGGCCACATTGAGTTTGTTTTGTATTTTGTTTATACTAACAGATTGTGGCTCTATTAAGGAGTGTTGAATAATAGAAACTTTGACGGATAATAGAGATGTGCAAGTGGCTCGATTATTGAGCCGACTCCAACCCAGCTGAGCACAGCCTGAAAGCATTCGTGATGGAACACCGAGCACCATGTCGAAAATTGAGCTGGGACCAAGTTTTTGCTATTGCGATTTTAGTATCGTGATCACAGAATATGTCTGCAAAGCTTACTTGATCGAAAAGTTCATTTTTTTTTCATTGTGGGAAGACAAAGATTATGTCTACGGTAAGCGATCACAGAAGATGTTTAGGTTTTTGCTGCGATCACAGATTATAGTCATCAAATTGTGATAAACGCACATTACATTAAGTTTTGTTTACTAAATTTAATATTGCTTAGGGAACATATCACACATGCTTTAAATATAGTTTTATAATTTATATATAGTTTAAATATAATAAAACTAGCTGAGTACCCGTCCTTCGTACGGGGTTGGTATACAATGCTTATTGTAGTTATATACTCGTGCTTTGCATTTGCAATGAGAGAGGACACGTTATGAGAAAATTTGGTTTACTATAATCTACGGTATACAGTATATCGAACATCTACCATAGCCATAATTTTCTACTACTTCACCTAAACAATAGAAAGAAGTAAAGTTCTCACACTCAGGTTTTTGTTGCTCCTTGGTTCAAATTAGCTGTTGTCATAAATGTACAAAGAACTAATGGTGCTGCACCCTGTTGGTAAACCGTATAACCTTTTAATGCTATGAATATCAAAGAAACAAATTGTGTAGTTGAAACAGCTGGCAAAATTATTTCATTCCTTTTAAATATTAATCCTCATAAGGTTAACATGGGAAACTCTAGAGCCGCTGGGGTGGAGCTCGAAAGGAATTTTGAGGTAAGAATATGTCTATATGTTAATCGGGAATGTGAGCTATCAACATACCAAATTTCAACACAATTCTACCAGTAGTTAATGCGTGATTGAACTTCAAACAAACAAACAAACAAACAAATAAACAAACAAACACACAAACTTTCACATTTATAATATTAAGTATGATTAGCAATACTTGCCATTGAATGGATTTAGGAGGAGGATATGCTTGTATTTCTACTAGTAGTTTAAACTCGGGCGTTCCAGGGTTCACATGTATTTGGGCAGCATTTTTATATCCGATGATATCCAGCTTCAGTTTATGTTTTCCTAAGGTACAATAGGAATTGTAACAACGGTTGGATACTTTTTAATTCTAAAAAAAAAACATTACATCTTTTCTCTTAAGACTTATTCCATGCGGTCCACTCAAATAGAGTCCAACAATATTAATGCACAACAATTGTGCTATACTATAACACCACTCTGCCGTAACCAGAATTGTTTCATCACTCACACATTTAGGTTCCAAAGACTCATTTAGAACAATAACTGGATTGCCAAATTCTAAAAAAAAATCAACAGATTACAAAAAAGGAAAACAATGTAAAACTGAAATACCCTACTAAATAGCTCTAATCGATGGCTTTTATGAAAATTGTGGAATGTTCATGTTAAGGGTAAAATATGAAAAGTTAGGCCTACTAATATTTAAAGTTACCTGATGGGATGACAGACAGTGTTACTGCATTGCTGTTGGTATTGCCCGAGTGGTCAGTCACAGTACATATGTATGGTCCTTCGTCCTTTAAGGAAACATCGGTTAATGTTAAGGTTCGGTGGACAGTGCACTGCATGTTATGTTCTCCAGGGTTCTTCTCGTCTATTTCCTCGTGTTCAAGGAATCTTCCACTCTGTCCAAATGCAAAACCAATTAATTATAAGTACAAGTTCAAATTAAATGTAACAAAGGAATGGTATAGATCAATTTCAGCCTACTACCTTGAACTTACCACTTGAATGAATTTGACCTGAAAATTGTGCTCAGACCAGGTTTGCTCAACTTGCTGAGTTTTATTTAATTTTCCAGACACTTACCTACTTAGTCTGCAACTGCATGATTAGTAAAGATCAGAACATTTTGTTTGGCTTACTTTAATTTGTAAGTGGGTTGTTCGTTCATCACATGAGAAACATGATAAGAAAATAAACTTTAGTTTAGCCTAACTACTTCATTTTAGATATTTTTAAGGGTTTTTTTTTTGCTTTAAAATACATTTTTTTATCTCAAGCAACCCAAACTAAATGTCGCCATTTCATTGAACAGTATTAACATTATTAACAGTTGAGCTCATTTCATGAGCTCCAAACAATGATGTGATTTAATTAACAGATTATTTGTGTAATTTTGTATCAATCAAACAGGGCATTTGTTACAGCTTTTACATTGGCAATCAATACGTTACCTAATAAAATCATAATCAATGACTTTTGGATACTGAAGTAGAAAGATATACCGTCTACAAGGTTACTCCGTAAACTACGTTCTTCATCGACCTCCTGTCACAGCCAAGCAAATCTAAAACCAACGTTGTGTTCCTTACTTCATCCACTACTATTCTCCCATCCGTATTGAACTGTACTATAGGCTTTGTCATAGTATTGAAGAATGTTGTGAAAGAAAATTGACCAAGTAAAAATCTTGTTTTGTGATTCGATATCGATTCGATATATCTTGTCTCAGTTGTCAATCGTAATTTAAGTAACCAGTGTGATACTTTTTAACTAAGTAAAGTGTTGAAAGTAGAAAATTTGTCCAGAGAAGGAGGGAATTTGGAGCTAGTTTTAAACACTAATACTAGGAATATTCCCTACAAGCTCCCCATTTGAATAACGGTGTGAATAAATTAGAAGGATTGTCAAACTAGTAGAGGACATTTTTATGAGACAATCACAGCCTGAGGCAAGCCTTGAGTCTGAAACACGCCAGTCAACCAGCAAAATCCTCAAATTCTCCAATCACTAGATTTCAATGAAAACGTATCAACACCCGTTGCTGGCCCTCTTGGCAACGCCACTTATGTACATTTACTACGTTGAAAACTTTCTCCCATCAATGTCCGTCCACTGGCAACAATAATCAAAAGGAATTGACCAATTGACCCCTTCCTGCAGAAACGTTATCACAGAAGTCAGAGTGAGAGTGTCAATTTTCTTTCACAATATATTCAAATGCTATGGCAAAAATAGTAGTCATATAGGAAAGGTAATCAGCTAGAACAGTAAAGAAAACAATAATGATCTCAGATTTGAACGAGTTTGCTTGGCTGTGATAGAGATTGATGGAGATTTTGGTACTACCGACCACACCTAATAATTATAACCTAAGGGTGGACTATGTTTTACGTTAGGTTAGGAGGATTTTGTTATTTATTTTAAACTAATTCAAATCTTATTTGGAAGTTGATTTATCGGTGTGTTTGGTATAATACCAAAGTTCCGAGACCTTAAATCAGAAATCAGAAATCAGTAATCAGTAAACAACACACTCTGTCGATGGCTCAAATCCAACTACAACCATTTGGATTCCAAATAAGTATAAAACTTAAAAGTAGAGTTATATCAATAGTCAAAGATCAAATCTTTTAATATGTTACAGTATTTTAAAAGGGCGACGATACAAATCCACACATATTTGAAGACTTTGTACTGTGTTGTTGATCCCGAATCACGTTGAAAAAAACTGTAAAAATATTGAAATACCTTGTACTGTTTTGTGATCTTAGGATCCTTTACTGGACTATAAGTTTTGATGTACAGTAAATATCCGGTCTACGTGGGACCAAGTCCCTGGCCAGATAACATTTTGGCCGGATAAACCAACCTATTATTAAAACGATAATTTTTATCTAATAACAACCAGTGATTGGTTATAAAAGTAGTGTTTAACCCTTTCAGTGCTATGAAACGATATATCGTTGTTTTAAAAAATCTCTAAGGGATATAGAGAGGAAGGTTATTTAAAAAAAATAGCAAAACGGCCATTGGTGACCTGCATGTTCATAGGATACACTAACAACCACTTAGCTAAAAGATTCGCCCAATCCGATGATTTCGAGGTGTGTGTCTAAACCAAGGATTATGAACACCTCACTATGCCCCAGTGGTTGTAGTATTTCGCTACAAACACACAGGTCACCAATTATTTGCCACACAGGACGGGATTCGAACCCGTGCAGACGAATGCCACTGGCCAAGTGACACACGCCCTAGCCTTCTCTTCTCGGCTATCTGTGCTTGAAGACTGAGGAGTCAAAAACCGGTATTTAAGCTGACGCCACCGATTGTGAACAGATAGCGTTACAGATGGTTGTTCAATGCGTTACTAGATAGCAGCACCAGATAGTCACGGACTATTTAGATGAAATCTTTTAGTTTAAACACAACAGTGATCATAAATGTGTTCCTGAGACTTTGCTGCAAAACATTAGTTTCCCTAAAATGCCTATATTACGATAACCTCGTCCAACTAAATCAAGGTTAAATTCAATATTACATTGTAAACTATATGTCTTTTGATTTTATGAGATTTTGGTTTCAAATAATGCTATCAGAACATAAAAATTTTAGGAAAACCAGGAAAATTACAACAAAAACTAAGTTTTATTTAATGTTTACAACAAATACCGGGATTTATCTTTCTTATATATTTTCTTATTGTGTTATTATTCAAAATTAGCCTAATTAATAAAATAGTGACAACATGACAGTTAAAATTCAACAACAGGTAATGGAATTAAAAGGCAAACAAAAAAGTCTTACAAAATATGAATTATTGGCCTAGCACTGAAAGGGTAATGTCTCTTTTTGGAATCTACTAGCTCAACTGAGTAATGAACCCGCTAAAAATGTATTCGATCAGGAAACAGATAAACTGTGAGAACGCTCTAATCATTGAGACTACGTGTAACAGCAGCGGGAAATATTTTTGGTATCGATTTCAGTAAGTGACCGGATAAACCAAGGAGCAGAACTTCTGAGGCCGGATATTAGGGGATCTACTCTAGTGAAAACATCATCATCAGGTCACAAAACTTGAAGATTTAAACCATCGTAGTGATGGTCGTGTAAAAATTGTCAAAAGGAACCAAGGATTACTAGGCAGTATCAGGTATTTAAACCTTTTTACATATTTGAGGAATTTAATTTTTTACATTACTGACTCTATCACAATATCCGACATTGTTAATCTTTGATCTATGTTATAATAATTATAACAGAGAGTTGCTTTTGGTGAGCGAGTGACAGTGAATATTTACAAACCTCATTGAGATGAGCGTGAGGGAGCGTCCATCTAAGAGCCACCTTGACTCCGAACTCATAATGTACCTTACAGTCAAAAGTGACCTCGGCCCCCTCCACCACAGGGATGGGGCTCACCTCAATGTGTGGTTGCTCCACCGAAGTCTTGTTGGCTATAACAGGCAATGACATAAGAATGACACCAAAGAATCTATCGAGAGTCTACTTATTTATTTACATTAAATGGTTGAAGAGTGCCATTTTTCGCAGGCCAGAACCTAAGGATTAGGTTTATATTCAGGAGTTCTGCTTGATCAAGACCTCATTGAGACTTGTGGCAAAAATAAATATATTTTTGGTAAATAAATAAATAAAAAAATAAAAAATTCAACATTGACCTTACAGTTTGGCATGTTAGTTTGAAAAAATGATAAAATGTTAAACAAAAGTAATCACTTATAAACTGTACGATTACAATACAAACAAACACAAAAGAAAGAGTATTGGTATAAATACCAACGTTCAAATACATAGAATATATTATTCCTAGCAAATTTTTTCTAGCTAATTTTCGCTTTGCAGTAAAACTAACAAAAATCTCATTTGAATTAAGAATTTGCATAAAACATTTTATCAGCTGATTTAAACCGATGAATCAGTTATCCATAGTTTTTAGTAGCCTCTAACGATGTGAACAGCGGCACTTGGCCTATTGCCATGGTAATAGCTGAAATAAACGTGTAAACATTAGCACAGCATAGACATTCCATATTAGGAATCATTACTACAGGCCGGGACTGCGGCGTTGCCATTTTTGTCTCGCCCCACAGCCTTTTATTAGAAGAGGTTATGCTACAAACCATTTTACTTGGAGAAAGATGTATTTACATGTATAATGTTGCTAGTGGTTGTATACTTCCAACTCTTTACTGAAAATACAGTAAAATTCATACAATGTGAATTTGATCCAATACTTAATTTTGTTTAAGAGCTAAATTACAAATTTAAAAGCTGAGAACATGCAACAATAAAATGTTGTTCAAAGCAACAATAAACAAGTTGGCCAATCAATATGTAACATAGAGCACTAGGGCACAGGTCTTTTTGTGACGATAGCATGCTTATCTGAATGGGAAAGGGTACAAACTGGCACAAGAAACAAAAGGCTTTACACTATACATAAAATATTATAGTATTTTGTGTTATAAAAGTTGACAAAAATTTTTGATATTTACATTTTGAAAAGAATTGTTACTATAGTTAAACTGTAACTAAAAAGTAATGAAAAAAAACTATTTAGAGTGTTGATTATTGAAATACTGTGTTAATCAGAACCAATGTAAATATCAAATGTTTTTTCCAAGCTTCTGTTTATTAAATTATATTTACAGCTACATAAATACCATGCGGATGATGGACATGCTATTGAAAATTGTACATTGTACTTTCAATATATAGCCTACTGAGCTGTGTGTTGTAAAATGTTATTTGACTACACTTTTACACAGTTAGTTTGTAAATTTATCAATTGGTTACAAAGTGAAAATTACAAAAACAACTTACATTTAATATCAATCAAAACAAGAAATTCCTTATCGAGATTTTCGTAACCACCAATAATGCAGGCAACTGTTCCTCCATCATGGACTTTGTCAATGTAAACCTCAAACCCTTTGTGTGGGTCGTACTTAGCACCCTGGAGATCCTGAAAAAGACAGTCGGGGTGAACTGATTCTTAAAGTGAAATCTTGGTGGTTATGGGTATTAAGGCAAACAAATAAAATACGGTTGTTCAATAAGTCCTTAGAAGAAGATATAAACATTGCTCATAGTATTGCAAATGGTTTGGTTATTGTTAACTTTACTATTTAATAAACAGCTAACAAAGTTTCTGACAAATTCATCAGTTGATTTCATTTGTATTGTTAATTTTGTAAACAAACCTCTATGCATTTTGAAAAAATAGTAAAAAGGTGAGTTCTGAGCGGTCATAAAACATTTAAAAGATTTAAAACCCAAAAAGATCAAAGCTGAGTTGGGCCAACTTAATGGCACATCTGTACCTACCTGTATTTGCAACTGATTACAACTGGGTAAATGAGTTTAAACGTGGCTGTACATCGACACAAGATGAACCCTGTTCAGGACAACCATAGTGGGAGTGACAACCCCAGAAATTATTGACAAAATCTACGATATGGTTTTGAATGACAGGCAAATTAAAGTGCCTGAAATAGTTGAGGCCACAGGTGCACACTTTACAGGTACAAGTACAGTGTTCTCCACTTACCATGTGGCTGGGTGTGAAAAAAGTCTCGGCAAGATGGGTGCCGCACTTGCCCTGGCGCTTTACTGTAGCATAACTGTAGATGAAACATGGATTCACTACCACACTCCGGAAACAAAGGAACATTCCAAGAAGTGGGTTATTTTTTCAAGCAAGGAACAGGAACAAACACCGAAGAAGACGAAGACAGTGAGATCTGCTGGCAAGGTGATGACAACTGGTTTTCGGTATGTTTGTGGAATAGTTTACATTAGTACCTGGCAAAGGAAAAAACAATAACTATGGAGAATGGAGGGTACTATTCCTCAATATTATGCCGGTTGAGCGAAGAAACTAAAACAAAAAGGCCCCATATAAAAAAAGATTCTCCTTCATCAAGACAATGTAAGGGTGTATACCTGCAAAGTTTCGATGGTAAGAAATCATGGAGTTGAAGTTTGAGTCAATTCCTAAACCAAGTGGCTTGGTGGGCAATATCTCATGATAGATGATGAGGTCATATCTAAAACAGAAGAGTATTTCTTAACCCACAACATGAGTAGGTGCCGCTGTATTCGTCTGAGGAGGTAGGACGTAAGGAGGTAAACGTTTGGATAAGTACGTGTTGAGCTAAAAGGAGATTATGTTTGAAAAAAAACCAAATTCATCCCAAAATGTTGTGTTATTTTATCTTTTTCTAAGGACTTAAACCACCCTCGTACTATGGTCTCCATCAAGCTCCTGTAGCAGCCAATGTTGTGTTCCTTACTTCACCCACTATTATAGCCAGTTTCCACAACTATGGCCTCGTCATAGTATAAAAGAAGTTGTTAAAGAAAATTGACGTTCCCATCTAGTATAAACCACGCTCTATTATTATATTTCTGAGGTCTCAGTCGTCAACCGCAGTTGACGGTCATGAATGGAGTAAGGTGTTTGAACGTAAAAAGGAGTGGTGGGAGATTTCAAAGGTCTTAAACATTTCCACGATGTGTTTCGAGGTGTAAGCTCAGTGCTGTTGTTCATTAGTCTTATTTGAAGCTGTGACCAAAGTTAAAGAGATTTTTCCATTAAGTTAAAGTCCCTCAGAGCCAGAACAGGTGAATAAGGTGTGTGGGGAGCACAACAATCTCGTCTTTAGCCAAAAACAAGCGAACATCAATGGCTATGTGTGAAGTGCATTTATATACTGGAAGAACCAGTGTAAGGGGTTGCACCAGCCGCATTGAACATGTTGTGAACTAGATTGCTTGGCTGTGATGGAGACCTTAATTTACAGCAACTCATTGTATATCAAATACATGAAGTATCCTATAAAACAAAAATACATTTAAAAACTAACAAGTAAACACTTTTCCCAACTATTTATATTGATTACCAATAGGATGGAAAGCTGTAAACTTGCATATCTCTATAGAGTACATAGTAGCAATGATAGAAAACAGAAGATATTTATAATCAGATATGATGGAAAGCTGTAAACTTACATATCTCTCTCTATAGAGTACATTGTGGCAATGATAGAAAACAGAAGATATTTATAATCAAATCAGATAAGATAGCACTATTAAGAGAGTGGGTATTTTATACACAGGTTTCATTCTTCAATGATCGTAATGTACACAGGAGGCACATGAAACACAGCACAAGTCAATGTTTACAAGCGTATAGGTGGGACATGCTGTTCATGCATCCTCTTACGCAGTATATGTAGGATGTAAAGTTCGTTAGTCACAAGTGTAGACCCATCGGCTGCAAGTACAACACAGGAGTAGGTGCCGCTGTATTTGTCTGACAGGTTAATCAACGAGAACCCCAAGTGTTTGTCGTAACGTACAAGCATGCCATGATACGTTTGTAAACCAGGCTCCATTGTGATCTGTGTCCAACACCAACAACTATCAATTGCATGCAAAGGTTATGAATAATAGATATTTGGCCACTGTTCATTAAAATCTACAGTTGGTTGTGAGAGTAAATAACCAGCTCGCACAATCTGACGGAAGGAGGCCTAAGTTTACAAACATTACATAAACTGAACAGTGAGCACTTTTTCTATCTCCACGCTAGAGTTGGATATCAGGGCAAGAAAAAGAGTCTTACAGCTGTTCTGCCTTCTGCTTGCACATGTAGGCTACACTAGTCGCTTTTGCTATTGCACATCTTTTTATTTGGTTTATTAAGCAGGTGGAGAGTCAAAAGAAGGATGATTAAATTTCTTGAACAGTTTGCTGACCAAGACGATTCAATATCATTTCAATATGTTGATTTACACACAAATTATGTTTTTAATTGTTGACTAAAAAGAATAAAATTGAAAGTTGCAATAGTAACACTGTCGATTTTGTACATTAAACCACAGCTAATATATTACTCTCTTCATTGATTTCTCATTTTTATGGATCAGCTGAAGACATTTTTATTGTTGGTTCCGTACTGAGCACTGTATGGGTTGTGTTTTGTTTACAATTTGTTTCTTGTTAATTCAGTCATTTAAAATCTTGTTTAACAAAATAAAACTATCTAATCATAAACAATAGCTCGCCCCCTAGTTATAAAACCAAATTTTAAAGCACAAATTATGTAACTAACCTTAAAATAATAGAAACTAAGTTTTGCCTACACTAGCGATCAGAGTCACCAACATGAACTAGACACTAAAAACGAGCTTCAACATTTACAATGGGATGAAAAGTCTACTTGTTGGTTAGTCTATGATTATACTTACACAGTGGCCAAATATACCGAAGAAAATCTAAATTCATCTGTTAGTTTAGTAGTTGTTAATACCAACAAAAATGAGTGAAAATGCTGTAGAAGCCCGATAAAAAATATATTACGGTTTTTTTTATGTTAGCTAGTATCAGTTTTTAGGTTATCACACTGAAATTCAGAAGGTGTTAAACAAATGTTAGGCGATTCTTTTAAAAAAGTATTATGTATTAGCATAGATAAAACATACTCCCTTAGTAGATTTCTCATCCTTATGGAACACTTGAAGCTAATTTTATTTTTAGTTCTGTACTGTGCACTGTAGAGGTTGTGTTTTGTTTATTATTATTTTAGTTATTAAAACCTCGTTTGACCAAATAAAACGATCAAATCAAAAACAATCACTTGTCCCCTAGTTATACAACCAAACAGTAAAGCACAAATCAAAAAATTAACTTTAAAATAATATACAAAAAATTTTGCTAACACTAGCGATCAGTGTCACCGGACATGAATTAGACACGAAAAACAAGCTCCAAAATTTACAATGGGATGAGAAGTCTACTTGTGTCGGTTAGTCTATGGTAGTTGTAAAAATGCTGGAACTGTAATCTTTTTAATGTGATTGTAATGTGATTTATGCCAATATTTTTATCTAATTACAGTTATAATTATAATAACAGGTTGTTAATGTTTTGGAAAGGTTTTTTATCCGTGGTGGATACTTTCTTGAGGATAAAAAATGTATACACATGTATATGCCCCCAGGATTGACATAAACCAAAAACAGCGGTTAAAAATAACATTTCAAATATTCACAATGGTTCAAAATATTCTTTCCCCAATATTTATTCATTTTACTCATAATTCAAGGCAAGCTACAAACTTAACTCCAATTTTTTTGTTGAACATCATTTTTTACAGTAACAATGTTACGCCTAAGTTTTAGGTACGGTACCTATTTCAAACAAAGTTTGCCTCTATTTCCCAGAACTTAAGTTGGCAATGGTATTTATTAATATCCATGTTAAAAAGAAAAACTAACTAAGATGTTTAAATTAGTCCCATGATCTATATTATATTCTGGTTCAAAATGTAGTTTTCCCTACCTCGTCATTCCTTCTCAGTTCTACTTTTAGATCCGGATCAGTTGGTTTACAAGGTATCAGTACTTCTCCAAACTGGTGTACAGAGATAATCAGCATGCTGTCATTCACTGCCAAATATCTATTTTCATCAGGATCTAGAAAAGAAAATCACAATAAAAGGATGTTTTTGATAATGGAATTTAAAATACAAAAAAACCTGTAATATTATATTTTATCACTAGAGAAGTGACTCTTATCGGGCCGAGCTCAAGTTTCACTTGGAAACAAAAACAATTACCACTCACGCTGTTGTTTGTCGTGAAGAGAAATAAGTAATTTTATGTATTGGGGTTTTTATTGATTGTAATGTGAATATTAGCCTACTTGGTAATTCGTTTGAAGAATCATTCAGTTTTTAAAGGATGTAAATATTGCTGACAAGATTAGTGTGTGTGTCTGTTTCTAACACAGCAAAACAAAAGTAAAATCAAAATAAATAACAGCAACAATCATTTTAACACTGCATTTTATTCCTGCGCCAAAAAAACCCCCTCAAATTTAAATAAAAAGCATTGGCCTATTAGGCCTGATAATGATTGGAGTGTCCAATTGAAATCGATCACCAATACCATCCTTCATATGTATCTACCAGCTTTTTAAAAAAGTAGGCTATAGGTGTACGGTACATATTTGTTTTGAGTAGGAGATAATAGGATATAGGAACAGTAGTAGTAGTAGGAGGAGGAGGATGAGCAGAGGAGGAGGAGGAGGGGGAGGAGGATGATCAGAGGAGAAGGAGGAGGAGGAGGGGGGAGGAGGAGGAGGCTGAGGGGAGAGAAAGGGAGGAAGAGTGGGAGGAGGAGGCGGAGGAGGAGGGGTAGGAGGAGTGGGAGGAGGAGGAGTAGGAGGAACAGGAAGAGGAGGAGGAGGGGTAGGAGGATGAGGGGGGAGGAGGAGGAGGAGGAGGAGGAGAGAACCAAAAAGCTGAACATGGATGTTGCCGTAATCCAAGACCGCAAGATGGTGTCACGGAGACTGCAGGTCATGATCACGGTTGTCACCGTGATCGCCGGAGACGATTACCGGTGTTGCTGAGACCACAAGATATGCTAAAATGTGTCGACGTAGTTGTGGAAGACGATTACTGGTTTCACCAAGACTACAGGACTGGCTGTTTCGACCATGGCCTGGTCCTGTTGTGGTCAAATATATGAATGAAGGGATCTACTGTATTAAATGCAAATACCACCCAAGACCAGTGGCAACAAAAATAGGTAATAACTACTTTAATTAATCTTGAACCTGGGGTAACTAAGAAAATAACAGCATCCTACCTCTGACATATACGTAGATTTTCTTGGTCTGTAATGACTCTTTACCCTCTTGTACAGGGTAGCATGTGTAGTAGCCAGTGTCCAGGTAGTAAGCTCCTCGCACAGTCAAGGTAGAGACATGCTGACTGTGCTCTACACCAGATATCACCTCCTTCACCCCCTTGTCCTGATTAACAGAACACATTTTAAAATCACTTTTTAGCTTAAGGTCTCACAATCAACAAGGAACAAAAGTAAAACTAGCTGTGGGCCCACCATTCTACACACATGAATCAAGTGATCGGTTAAAAATGTTTTTCATGTAGAACAGTGGGTTCAGATTTTTTTACTTGGACCCAGGGTTGCCTCTTTAGGTCAGGGAAAAATCGGGACATTGCCCACCTCCCTCCCGGTTAAAACATAGGCTCCAATAACATAGGCTCGGGCATAAGGAACCAAAATCAGGACTGTCCCGGCAGAAGTAAGGATAGTTTGCAAAAAAAAACGTTTCCCTAATATGAGTTCAAATCTTCATAGCATAAACTCATACTCACAAAAATTGAATTTGCGACAAAACTTGATTAAATTTAACATTTTGAGATATATATATAAAGTTTAACCCTTAGAGTGCCAGGCGAGAAATAAAAGTAACGCTCAAAAAATGCCGATGATTTTTCCCGAAGGTCGCGCTAAAAATGCCGAGCGCGATCTGGCGATTTTTAGGTTAAAATTTCGTAAAAATCGAATTTTCGATATTTCGACCAACGAAAATCGATGTATCGCATCTAGCAACTTTCGACTCAATCTTAATATATGGGTTAAAAGAATCCGAGTATTTATTCGGTTGTTATGACAGCTGTTCGATCATTACGAAACGTCCGGTCAGCCGGACGTTGGCACTTTTGGCTCGTTCTAAAAACGTCCGGTCGGCCGGACGTTGGCACTTTTGGCTCGTTTTAAAAACGTCCGGTTCCCCGGACGTTGGCACTCAAAGGGTTAAAATTACTCATTTACTGAAAACGTAAATCCTTTAGGGTTTCACAATCCAAGGAAAATAAACTACATTTTCGCTCATACGCATAAACAATATAGGTACCAACAATCAAAATTTTGTAAACAAATTAAAACGTAAACATACCAGTGGCATTTTGCAGAAAGAAGACCAGCTGTTCGTTAAAATACATTATATTGAACTGAAACAAACTTTAAAAAGGGTTATCATTGGGTGCTAGACTTTTTTAAAATTAAATTAAATTTCTGAAAAATAGAAGCACAAAATTAAAATGATACCTTCGACATTCCTTTCCTCTTAAAGTTAATTTCTTTCCATTCAAAATAAGAATCATGAAAATCTGTCGTGTAGTTAATACAGAATCTGTGAATAAAATCCCGACCCACATTTTAATATCTATACTTATAAAAGGCAAAGCCCTCACTGACTCACTCACTCACTCATCACTAATTCTCCCACTTCCCATTTACCTAGGAGGCTGAAATTCGGTGCACCGATTCTTTGGGCATTAAATAGGAAAACTAAGTAGTTTTTATTCTGATCGGGCTTTCGGGCTCCGCCCCAGTGGCTCTGGAGTTACCCATATTAACCTTATGAGTACTCATATTTAAATGGAATTAAAGAATCTTAACAGCTGGTTCAACTAAACAAGTTGATTCTGTGATGTTCAATAGCATTAAAGAGTTAATAGGTTTACGAACAGGGTGCAGCACTATTATTTTTTTACATTAATGACAACAGCTTGCAACCAAAAGGTGAGTGAGCGTAGCGAACGAACTTCAACCTGGAGGCGAGTTAGCGTAGCAAACAAGCTAACCTGAAGGCAAGTGAGCGCAGCGAACGAGCTCCAACCCAAAGGTGAGTAAGCGTAGCAAACAAACTTCAATCAGGACGTGATTGAGCCATGCGAACGAGCTCATCTTGAAAATTAACGAGCATTGACATAAAACCACATTAGGACAGGACGACGACTTGACCAATAGAGCAGATTTTTTTCAAGAATAGAGCCAATATAAGCCTGGGTAACCACAGGTTTAGTGGAGATAGTCATTTTTAATTTAATACTCTCCTAGGGCCCAAATACTCCCTGACAGCTAATTAAGTCCAATGTTGTTCTTTGAAGTAACCATGAAAAGCCACTCGAAATACCACCCAACTCGGTACGGCAATCAATAGTTTTATTAATACTTATGAAGTTAAACGGGGCAAAGCCCGCGGGTACAGCTAGTACTGTATAACATTCTTACTAATCAAACAAGCTGCACGAATTTAATCGTACATAATAACATATGAAGTCAGCTATACCAACCTCATCATCATAGTCATCGTAGGTCCAAGTAAGTGGAGCGTCTCCACGACATGTGAGAGTGAAGGTAGAGTCGGCTTGCACCACCAAGTCTCCGTCAGGCCTTGCACCAGGCGGGAGGTCAATAGTCACCTCACCTATAACATAACATCGGACACATAAAACACCCCCGCCACAGCAAATCAGCAGACTAGGCAAATTTCCATTTGCCTGGATGGATTTCATTTAAATCTATTTAAATAACATTAGGTTTAACGTGCTTAGGTTTGTTGCTAGAGGGAGCGTAAAAAATTAGAAAACCCAATTTGACACCATAAAACCTCCTGTAAAACCCTGTCCCCATGGTCTGATCATGCTGGTTTGCGAACTTCTTCAAATTTATCCCGCCTTACACCGTCAAACCAAATTTAATCAAAATTAGACAAAATTACTCAGGCTATCGCGTTCACGGATACATATATAGGCTACATAAATCTACAAATACAACATTTTGAACGGATGGTGTTATTGGCCTCTGGGGACATCAAAATGAAAAAGTAAATCGGTCTCAGGCCTAGGTCTTACCATGAGACCTATAGCTGCTTCCCTATAGGGAAATAATATTTGGTTTGATGAGTAATTAAGTTTATTACTACACAAAAAGGTAAGCAGTGTTTTTTTTTTTTTGCAAAATGTTAATAGCATAGTATAAAAATATGTTTTTCAAATTCAATCAATGTATATCCTACGACGGCGTAGAAGGGCCATGGAGTAACATTTTTTTTGTAAAATTTTGACTTTAATCTCAAAATTATGACTTTTAATCTCAAAATTTTGACTTTTATTCTCAAAATTTTGACTTTTAATTTCAAAGATGTAGTTATTTTTTACAAGTACAACCAACGGAGACAGAATGACCAACATAACAGCACAAGCGGCAATCTTGGATGGATGGCACGCTTTTCTCTTATGTTCAACCAGAGAGTAGTGACTCCAGTCTATCTATTCATTTCTATGGTTATAGTAGGCCTACTTACGGAGTTTGGTGGTAATTTAACACTCAAAACCAGATGATTTAAACAGCAATTGAGCTCCAGTTGTAAAAGCGCTTGGAATAAATACGACGTTGTAGAATTCAATGAATTTTGAGATAGGAGTCAAAATTTTGACATTTTAAGTCAAAACTTTAAGAATAAAAGTCAAAATTTTGAGATTAAAAGTCAAAATGTTTAGATTTAAAGTCAAAATTTTGTATTAAGAGTCAACATTTTGAGATTAAGAGTCAAAATTTTTAGATTAAAAGTCAACATTTTGAGAATTAAAGTCCTAAGTTTTGAGATTGGAAGTCAAAATTTTACAAAAAAAATGTTACTCCATGGCCCTTCTACGCCGTTGTAATATCCATATAAAATTAAGATAATAGTTTAAACTTGTTCTCCTTATTTAACAATATGGGAATTTGAATTGTAGTTTTTTGACAATGTTTATTTATTATTTTTACAGCAAAGCTTCAATGTATCAATTTTTTTGGCTCTACAAAATGGTGTCAAAAGAAGTTTTAGAAGAAGTTCAAAAGAGTTTACTAAGTGTCAAAAATTACAAAAAAAAAAAAAAAACAATATTCCATAACACTATATTCGAATAGTGTAATCATGATAAAACTTTAGCAGATAAAAATAGGTTAACAAGTTTGTTCCAAATTTGATCAAATCAGGTAGTTATTAAGTATTACTTGATTTATCATGCTTACAGACAATAAATTTGAGCTAATATTGCTTTTGAAATCTGGGGCCAGCAAATCAAAATAAATAGTACATCGATCCAGAATCTAGGTTTTACCATGCCACCTACCTACTAATAGTTTTTTCCTCATAAAACAAATTCAATTAGCTAAAAACTCATTTTCAACAGGGTATAATTTTCTTAATTGCTACTGTAAATAAGAATGAGATAACAACATATCTGTAACGATGTAATTAAAAGAGGAAAAGAAAGTAAAAGAAACAGAGATAGCTGCAAGCATGATAGTGGCAGGAGGGGAAGTGACTGATTGAGATCAACTTGAGATAAAATAAAAAAAAAAATAATAAAATTGGTAAATAAAATAGATAAAATTGAGATAAACTCTTCTCCACAGAGGATTTTCTAGTTTCACTAGTAAAAAAAAAATATCTTTGGATAAAAGTAGCCATCAGACTGACTTGACGGGCATTCTTTCTGGAGCCTAAATAATTTAAAGTTTGCCTTTTCAAGTTAAAGTTCTCATGATTGTCCTCTATTATACAAAGTTGTACACTGTACAGGGCAGGTCAGCTGTATTTTGATATTTGTTGAGACATGAAAATCCAACTTCTTTAGATATTTGGCTGGAACTTTAAGGTTAGCCAGTCAGTTTATTATTTTGTGCGTGTCAGATATCACGTTGTAAATTAAGCGTAAAATTGAAACATTGAAGTAAAAAAAATACAGGCAGGTACTGACAGAGGAAATAGTCAAAATTGCTCTATAATTAGGGATTTTCCCCAACACTTGATAGAAGACTTTAAAAAAACAGTAATAAGAATGAAGATAAAGTTGGATCGTTGGAGGAAGAGGAAGGAGTGTCAAAACATAAAGTTTACAGACATAAACAAAGGGTTTTCAACGTGAAAAGCTGTGTCGAGATTAAAAAAATTCTACATCAGGAACGATTTTACAGGAGAGACACAAGAGAAAAAACTTCCTTGTAATAGTTTTAAAACTTAGAGAAAAATTAAAAAGTTGTATTTAAATATTATTAGAGAAAATCCTTCTGTTAATTAACACCAATGTGTACATAAAACAGGACTTTAAAAATTACTTCAATCTAGTTTCCCATAAGGAATTTTTCACGCAGATGAAACCAACCTGTTTTTCAGTGTTTTCGGATAAAATACTGTCATAAAGGGTGATACAGTAGTGGTGGGAAAATTAGCAAACGTTCGAATAACTGCATTGTTTTGTTTGAACTCCAACAGAACAAAAAATTCAAAACCCTGTCATAAGATGGGCTAAAATACACGGTGTTTGAAGAATGTTATAAGTTTGCCTGTTTGCCAACTGATTGTAAGACGACCAGAAAGCTTAGGATGGTTTCTAGTTTACTCAGTGATTGGGTGAAAAAAAAACGACAAAGTCATAAAGAATGTTTATCGACAACTGCACCTAGCACCTATTCACATACGTACCTCCTCTGAAAACTACACAGTGCAATTTCTACCACCGAACACAACATATGAAATCCAACCACTTTTCCAAGGGACCATAATGAACTTTAAAGTAAATACTGAAGAGAGGAAGTCCAACGAATAGTGAGTCAATAGCATAGATCAATCTACTTTATGTCCTACAGAACTGGGTGTGGCTTCTGAAACCATCATCTGATTCATGCACCGTTGTAAAATGTAAGTATAAAGTTTAATGAAGGCGAGAAAGTCACAAAGTACTGAGCACTGCCAATTTCAAAGGATTTTATTTTGTACAAACCTTTCCCAAAGCTGGAGCTGGAAATATGAATCAAGAGAAGAAACAAATAGAATCTACTTTTATTATTGTCAATTGCTATGAATGTCAATTGCTTCCTTTGACATTGGCAAAATTTTATGATAATACTAGCTGTAACCCGCGGGCTTTGCCCCGTTTAACTTCTTAATTTTCAAGATGATCTAGTTCGCATGGCTCAATCACGTCCTGGTTGAAGTTTGTTCGCTACGCTCACTCACCTTTAGGTTGGAGCTCATTCGCTGCGCTCACTTGCCTTCAGGTTAGCTCGTTCGCTACGCTCACTTGCCTTCAGGTTAGCTCGTTCGCTAAGCTAACTCGCATCCAGGTTGAAGTTCGTTCGCTACGCTCACTCACCTTTTGGTTGCAAATTAGCTGTTGTCATAAATGTAAAAGAAATAATAGTGCTGCACCCTGTTGGTAATCCTTGTAACTTTAATGCTATTGAACATCATAGAACAGAACCAACTTGTTTAATTGAAACAGCTGTTAAGATTCATTAATTCCATTTCTCATAAGGTTAACATGGGAAACTCCAGAGCCACTGGGGCGGAGCCGATTGGACGGATCACGAAATTGATGGTGTATAAACCTATTCCATGAAATTCTACACGTATGTACCAAGTTTCGTGGCAATCGGTTCAGCGGTGTCTGAGTTTATCACTGCCAAACAAATATATATATATATATATATATATATATATATATATATACAAACATCTTCTTTTATACTTATAGATAGCACCATGTGAGAACACTAGAGATTGCATTTCACCAAAATAGAAACTTATTATCACATTAAGGTGAGTTTATTTCTTAAGTTGCATGTACAAGTAACTATAGAGTAAATAAGAAAAAGCATTATATCACCAACTAAAGAACACGTCTTTCGCTGATACCATGTGTATAGTCTGATTCTAAAAAACTAAATTCGAGGCGTGCAGTTACTGCATGTTCCAACATGACCTAGCTTGCCATAACACGTGGCGCTTCATGTCTAATTTATTTAGGAATGTTTCAATAACATGCATTTATGTAGTACGTTACATCCCATGTCCTAGACTTGCCAAAGATGCTTAACAGGCATGCGCCATGCAACTCTGCCATGTATACGTGACGCACAGCAATCGCGCGCTCAATGAGGAACCTTCCCCAGTAGTCGTACCAGTGTTATCGTTTTGCGCGTAATTACGCTTTAGGCGCGGATTTTTGTGCGGATTAGGCTTGTGAGCGGATTTTGCGCGGATTTCACCCCATTGTTAAGTATTTTAAAATATATGGGAATTTCAACGGCAAATCGGCACACTTTGTACTTTATGACTCAAGAGGAGCACTTTACGAGTATATAAACCAAGGATTGTATTATAGTGCATTCAAGAATGATCGGTGATTTTTTTTTTTACATTTATTGTTCTTTTCACTCCCTTTACGTCTACGTCTACAAATCCTACTATCAGGTTGTCACTTCTAGGGATTTAGGCCTAATCGTTTTCTAGGGATATTTTACTAATGATTTTCCTCTAGAGTTGGTTTGTGGCAACACTGCTAACCTAACCAAACACGAGATAAAACCACAAACAGGCAAACAAAACAAAGTACCAACCAACAGAAACAAAACAAACTAACCAACTTTATACTA